CGGGGTCAATCGCAGCCCAAACCCCGGGTCGGCAGGTGCGGCGCTCGCGCTGCATCGGCGTCCTGGGTGGGGAAATCGCGTGCTCGCGTCACGCTCGCGGAAAGGACTCGGGTTTCACCCGTGCCCCGGATGCGGCGGCTGAGAGAGATGGCCGGGCTTCTCGTCTCCTCCTCGGAAGAGGCGAGGTGCCCATAGTACGCCCGAGGGCTTGGAAGGACGACGACCGGCGTTCGGCCGGCCTGCCGGATCTCCAAGCCCGTGGCCTCATCAGAGAATCCATCGGAATAATGCCGAGCCCCACCTCAGGCCGTGCCCCGCGACCTTGTCGTTTGTTTTGGCGAGCGATCGGCGAGAAAGCGGGCGTGCGGTGGCTCGAAAAAAGTTCTAGCACCGATGGATTCGTTGTGGTGCTGAAGGCGCACCCCGACGGGCATGGAGCAGTGCCTCGGTCGATCCCAGACCTTGGCAACCGCTCCTAAGAACGAGTGACAAAACGAACGCCCTCGGGCTTCTCCGCGTGTTGCTCGCAGCACTGGAGGGGACGAGGCGACCTCCTCTTGTAGGAGATCAGGTAGCAATCCCCCTCCCACGCAACTAGCTCAGTAGGCCCGCCATCCCAAAGGCTAGTCGTGATCGGGAGCGAGGCAAGTCGCGAATACGGTCGGTTGGGGCAGCGGGGTGGCACCCGATGTCCTCTCCATACCGCACCTCGACGAACCTCGACACCAGGGAGCCTGCTTCCCGGCGGCACCGGGCGTCCATGCGGAACAAAAACCAAATCCCTTTCCCCTGATGGTAACAGGTCGGACTCTTTCCCAAAAGCGGAAGCACCGGGAAGTTCGACGCCTGACCTAGGACGTATCCTCAGAAAGTTGGCTTGCCGGAATCCTCCTCCCTCCTAGCGTCCTCCGCCACCGGTGCTCCGTCTCTCTTGGCACCGGCTGGTGTGACTGCGGGGTCTTGCTCGCCCGGCCTTCCGAAATCCTCTTCGGTCAGCTGGGAGGGAGCGCCCGTGGTAATGGCAAGGGACCGTTTCTCAGCCGGGTCCGGTCGCAGTGCATCAAGGAGCTGCGAACGGGCACGGGATATAGACCTCTCCGCGATCGGGACTGGCCGTCCGGTCGCAAAACCCTCCCCTTGAGCGGGGCCCCCATGAGCCCCGGCACCTAATAAAAACTGGGACCCCACTCCTGACGATGGATATCTTGGAACCTGGCTCGATGAAGAACGTAGCGAAATGCGATACGTAATGCGAATTGCAAAACTCCGTGAATCATCGAAACTTTGAACGCATGTTGCGCCCGAGGCCTCGGCCGAGGGCACGTCTGCTTGAACGCCACACACATCCAGGTGGAGCCACGCATCCGCACCCACACCCTCCACACGCGGCAATGTGCGGCCGGGTGAACGGGTCGGAACTGCCAAAATGCGTCGGCATACGAGGGGCGCTCGGGTTTTGCTCGAGACAATCGCCCGTACCTGGGAAAACGAGATGGCCGTCGCAACCCGTGCACAACGGGGGGCAGTCGGCTGAAATCGCAGGGCCGCCGCAAGCCCGTCTCCTCTCCGTCTCGACCCCAGCGCAGATCCCCGGATGCCAACCGGGAGGACGCGAGCGGGACGAGCGAAACGAGGCGGGTGGCGACCCCGCTGGGCTCGGTGAACCCAGCCGGCCAACGGACCCCGTCCGGACCTCCCAGCAGGTGGGGGGGTATCGGATGCCAAACCGTTCCTCTTTTTTCTCTCCCGTGAAGGCCGCGAAACGGAAAAATGGAGCCGAGGGCGTGGCAACCCTCGGTCTCCGCCCTCCAAAGTAGCGTGCACGGACCGGGCGAGGGGCGGACGGGGCCCGTACAAAAATGGTCGGACCGGGGAAGAACCGGGCAAACCCCCAAGCGATGGCTTCAAGTCAGGCGAGACCACCCGCTGAATTTAAGCATATTACTAAGCGGAGGAAAAGAAAACAACCGTGATTCCTTTGGTAGCGGCAAGCAACCAAGGAAAAGCCCAGGATTGAAATCCGAAGGCCTCCGGCCCTTCGAATTGTAGTTTGAAAAGGAAGCGTTCTCTGTGACGGGCGTCGCCTTAAGTCCACTGGAAAGTGGCGGCAGAGAGGGTGACACCCCCGTCGGGCGACGACCCGTCACTTCACGAGGCGCATCCAAAGAGTCGGGTTGCTTGGGAGTGCAGCCCCAACATGGGTGGTAAGCTCCATCCAAGGCTAAATACGGCCAGGTTTCCGATAGCGAACAAGTACCGCGAGGGAAAGATGAAAAGAACTTTGGAAAGAGAGTAAAATGTGCTTGAAATCGTTAGGAGGATAAGCGCATGAGCCCAAGCAAACCTGCGGGACCCGTTCACGCGGGGCTCGGAGGTACGCAGCGCCGGTCGATGTCGCGGGAAAAGGAGCTCGCTCCCACCGCGGCGGAGACCGAGGATGGCCCTCACGGGTCAGCGCTGGCGAAACGGGCTGATGCGACCCGTCTTGAAACATGGACCAAGGAGGCCAACGCGGCTGCGAGCCAATGGGTTGAAAACCACAATGGCGACAGTGAAAGCGACCCGTGAGAAGGCGGCCTCGTGCTGCCCGCACCACGGACCGCCCCGGGGGCCTCGGCGCCCGGGGTGCGTTGAGTAGTCGCGTTGGGACCCAAAAGATGGTGAACTATGCCTGAGCAGGGCGAAGCCAGAGGAAACTCTGGTGGAGGCCCGCAGCGCTACTGATGTGCAAATCGTTCGTCAGACTTGGGTATAGGGGCGAAAGACTAATCGAACCATCTGGTAGCTGGTTCCCTCCGAAGTTTGCCTCAGGATAGCTGGTGCTCGATACGTGGTTACGTCTGGTAAAGCGAATGATTGGCGGGCTCGGGGGAGAAGCACCCTCGACCGACTCTCAAACTTTAAACGGGCGAGGAGGGCCGCCATCTTAATTGTGGCTGGCTTTCAGGGGTGCTGGCTGACCCCACCAACATGAGTGCCAAGTGGGCCATTTTTGGTAAGCAGAACTGGCGAGGCGGGATGATCCGAAAGCCGGGTTACGGTGCCTAACTACGCGCTAACCTAGATCCCACAAAGGGTGTTGATTGATTAAGACAGCAGGACGGTGGTCATGGAAGTCGAAATCCGCTAAGGAGTGTGTAACAACTCACCTGCCAAATCAATTAGCCCCGAAAATGGATGGCGCTCAAGCGCGTGACCTATACCCGGCCGCACCCGGCTACTGGTGAGCCGGTGCGAGTAGGAGGGCGCAGTGGGACTTATCGAAGCGTGCGCGTGAGCGCGCGTCGAGCTCGTGATCGCTGCAGATCTTGGTGGTAGTAGCAAATATTCAAATGAGAACTTTGAAGACTGAGGTGGAGAAAGGTTCCATGTGAACAGCAGTTGCACATGGGTTAGTCGATCCTAAGAGATGAGGTAACTCCTTGAGAACGGCGCGGTTCTCCCCGCGCCGCCCATCGAAAGGGAATCGGGTCAAACACCGCATCAACACCCACAACGAGCTACGGGATGCGTGCATTAGCATGGCGCAGCACGCAGGTTTCATTGTTCACGGTGAGTCGGCCGCCCATTTCCCTATCGAGGAACAAACTGCCGACTTTACCATGACGGATAGAAACAGTGGGGACTTTACCATGTCACCATCACGGACCCCATCAGCACGAGAGACCCAGAGGCGCAGAAAGGCAGGGGATGGGCAGCACGGGAACAAGCGGATAAGAAAATCCAGCATTACGCCAACTGGCCAGAGACGGTTGGCTTCTTCCCATTGGCAGTTGACACCTACGGTTGCCCATGCGCGGAAGTACCAACCTTCCTGAAGCTACTTGCAGACACGACGGCTCGGCGCCACTTTGACACCGACTCTAAATCCTTTTATGCCACCAAGTTCCTTCACCAGTTTCGGCAGTGATGGTCAGTGGCCCTTCAAAGGGCCCAATCAGTGGGTCTTCTACTCAAGTTGGGCGAGGCGGCAGCTGCAGAGAACCCGCCTGTAAGGGGTATTGGTCAAGAGTTAGGGAATAGTGAGTAGGAATTTGTGCTTTGTTTGTTTGTTTGTTACATCCATACACTGCATGCTTGTACCTTGCTGCTATATCAATACAAGGCCCATTAGAGAGAGACTAGGGAACTAGTCCTTAGACTTCAGCAGCATCCCTCTCTTCTCCTATGGGTAGCCTAGTTGTAGGAGCAGCTAGGCCACTCTCTCTCGTAGTGTAGCCCAGCCCCACAGCCTATAGTGAGTACAGTTTCTTTCTTAAGCTCACAATCTGCAATCTGATCCTCATTAGTTGCTGGTGAGTCATCTCCCCAACTCAGCGGCTCACAACGTTTAACATGCAATGCCGGCACAAGTACCCACCACAGCACCCCCTGGCGTAACCACATCACGCATGGGGAAGCCCAAGCCCAGGATAAGCACCACCAAGGCCGGGAAGGGGAAAGCAGAGCCTTATCGGCGAGGATCAAAGCCAGCTGTCCATCCAACCAGCGCAACAGCGCTGCGGCGGCTGGTACAAGGTCGAGGGGGACACGTCGGACAGAAGAGGCCAACCGCCTCACAGCGGAAGGCCCAGGACCAGAACCCACCCCGGGGGAGCCTGTCTCAAGGCCCATCTGCGGGAAGCTCCCCATCATCCCCCGCGCCGCCGTCACCACAACAGCCCGCTGCCTCTTCGACAAAGGCGGGCAAGCAACACGCCCACGTAACAGCCCTGAATGCAGCTGATCAAGCACCGACGCCAGCAGCTCCAGGACAGTCCCCACGGTCGCAACGCACTGCTCGATGCGACGAAGCCACTCAACAGGCGAGCACTCTTCCCACCGACTCCAGGGCTCATCGAGAGCAGTAGCAGAGGCAGCAAGTGCGGCAGCCGGCTGGGGAGTCGACAACACCTCCCACGGTATCGGAATTTCACGCCCCCGAAGAAACAACTGTGGGAGCGCGCTCGGGGGGAGAGGAGGCGGTGCTGAAGAAGCTGGCAGAACAACCGCAGGGGCACATGGAGCTGACGGCAAGGCGGAAGAAGAAGGCGGAGGAGCTGCCTGAAGGACAGACGGGGACTGTGGCTGGAGCGGCGACGACGAAGGTTGCGATGGCGACAACCGGGCCTGCGGAAGAGGAAGAGGCGGCGGCGTGGAGGGCCCTCGCACCAACGATCGAGGAGGACGCGGTAGAGGCAGAGGAAGGAAGGGCTGACGGCGAGTACGGCGGAACGAGTGCTGCTGACGCGGTCACAGAAGCGCATGAGTGCGCTCAGGAGGGGAGTGATACACCGGCTGGTGCGAGCCACCACGGCGACCACGCCGAGCAAGCCCACCACGCCGGCTGCGAGAAGACTGGGAAGAGGATCCGCGTCCAGCCAGCACCGCGAAGGCTCGGAGAAGGCCTGGCACCTGGTCCCCCGAGGCCTCTTCGAGGATGGCATTTGCAAGAGTAGATGCCACAAGCCCAAGAGCACCGTCAGCCATCAGGGGGTACGAGCGCAGGGAGACCGCAAGGGGTGGAGGCGGAGGCGAACTGCAAACCAAACAGACGGCGACTCGACCACAACCACAGGCTGAAGTAACAACATCCGGGAACGACGCCCGGCCAGAAACGGAAGGCAGGGCGACTCGAAGCCGCGCGAGAGGAGGCAGAATCGCCTGAGGACCGCCGAACGGCGGACGATCGACCGTGGGGCGAGCGCCGTGGATGCCGGCAAGACGAGCGGGCGCAACCCACGGAGGGCGAGAAGGGAACAATAGCGCAGGCAGGGGAGGAGCGCGCGGAGACCAAGGCAGGAGACGGGGAGGAAGAGGGGGGAGAGGGCCCGTCGTGGGCGGAGAGCTAGCACTGGTTAGATCCGGGACGTGGCGGGAGCGACACAACCGTCCGGAGATTGAGCACGAGGTGGCGAATGAGGAGGGAAGCGCTAACAACAACGACAGAGGGAGTGAATTTAATCGTGACACCGAGCGTGTTTCTGAGGAACTCTCACAGTACGAGGGGGAGAGTGAAGAGAGAATTGCCACACGAGGTAGGACAAGGATTGGAGATGGCGGGAGAGTCAACACTGAGGAACCAGTAGATGGCGCGGGACCAGCACCACAGCCGGAGCCAAGCATACGTCAACCATCCGACCTGGCGGGGGACATTGGACTATGGCAACAGGTGGCATCATGGGACACGACAAAGCTCCAGCAGAGCAATCAGCCCTTCCTAGTCCGACGGCTGCCACCTAAGCTATTGGAGAGCTACACCCAATGTTTACTGACCCTTCTTCTGAGAGTGACAGAATATCCCGACTGTCCAGGAGGTTGGAAACTGTTGCTGTTCCTGCCGAGGCTGACCCTGCGACCCTTGCCGGAGCCAGTGGAGGGGACTCGGTGGGCTGAAATCGAGCACAGGCTACACCAAATCAGGCTTGGCAGGTGGGACGCGCTCTATATCGAGGCCTGTGTCATCCCCGACATAGGAGAACCGATACGACATCAGCCTCACGATGTGAGCCTATGTACTAAAGCAGAAGGGCTCGTAAAAAAAGGGAATATTTCGAAAGGCGTTGCAGCGTTACGCGTAACACCACTGGCGGACACATCGCCAGAGACCATCGCAGCACTACGAGCGAAACACCCAACCGCGGAAACGCCAACCCCTGCTGTGGTTACGGGGTACGCCACTGCCTCACTCAGCATCAGCCATGACGACCTCCGCAATCTGCTGGCGAAGTGCCCGAATGGAGTGGGAGCAGGCCCATCAGGCACCTGCTTCGAACACCTGAAGGATCCCGCCCACACAAACGAGGAGGCCCTCATACTACTCACGCGCATAGTTGGAGGCCCTGGAGGATCATCTGCTTGGAACACTCCGGACCCAGGAGGTCCGCGACATGCTACTCCCATCACGCCTCATCGTCCTAGAAAAGCCAGGGGGCGGGGTACGACCTATAGCCATTGGCGAGACCATACTTAGAATAGTGGTGAAAGCAGCGCTACGCGAATTAGCACCGAACATAAGAGAGTTTTTCCTGCCTGTGCAATACGGAATGGGAGTCGCGGGCGGCGCCGAATGTGTTATCCACACCGTCAGATTGCTCCTGCGGGACGATAGCAAACGCATCGCACTGCAGCTAGATATCGAGAATGCCTTCAATAGTGTAGAACGTTCCGCCTTCTTCACTGCACTCTCTTGGTCTAACCTGCAGTCGCTCATACCCCTCGTCCGCACGCTCTATGATGGACCCTCCCGCCTGCTCGTCGACACACGCTTCGACGCAGATCACATAGCGAGCACTAGGGGGGTGCGACAAGGAGACCCACTGGGCCCATTACTCTTCGCCGCGGCCATCCAACCTACCCTACTCATGGTGGCGGTTGTGGCCTACGCGGATGATATCACGATCGTAGGCCCACAGGAGGCGGCGTTCTTAGCGTTCGACTCCATCACCCGCGGTCTAGCATCATGCGGGCTGAAATGCAACATTGGGAAATCTTCAGCATGGACACCCAAGCGGCACTCACCTCGGCCAACGAGGGCTGACCTTACATTATCCCCTGGCCAGCTCTCGATGGCGTTGGGCTTCCGTTTAGGCATGCAGCTGCCGGTTACAATAAAGTACCATTGCAAGCAGAAAACTCGGACATCAGTGACACCTCGCTCCCAAATCACCTACTTAGATGTGCGGATGGTGGGGACGTGGTTAGGACACATGATGCACTGGTGTATGCAGCACTCCGGATGGCGAGGGAGGCAGGTTTCTTGACCTTCCACGAAACTACCACCTTCTCCCCCCCTGTGCTACATAAGAGGGCAGATTTAGCAATCCAGGACCAGGAATTGGGTGAAACCTTTGTCACGGACGTGACCGTGTCTGACCCAGCCCTACAAAGGAGCGACACCAGAGCACGGAAGCCGCCAAAGTGGGCGGCCAAGGAAGCATCCGAGAGCAATCATAGGCTCTACGAGGGTCGCCCGGACTGTGTGGGGTTTTTTGGTTTGGTGGTTGAGACATACGGGGCCTTGGCAGCAGATTATTCTCTGGTGAGTGTGGATCCCCCCCAACCCAGCGGCTCGTTCGAGAGAGCGAGAGAGAGAGAGAGAGAGAGAGCGAGAGAGAGAGAGAGAGAGAGAGAGAGAGAGAGAGAGAGGCACCAGGGCCAGTCCTTAGTCTCTCCCTGCTCCCTAGCCTACTATAGACTTAGTTTAGCGTAGCCTCAGTGCTCCTTAAGCCTTGTATCCTTAGTGTAGCCATTGCAAAGAGCCTATAAGCAGTATGGCCGCCTATATATCCCCCCCTGGTTCCTCCACTCCACTCATTATTCTCTGGTGAGTGTGGATCCCCCCCAACCCAGCGGCTCGCGCCGGCCACCTTCGACGGCCGACGCTCGACAGCGCGGCCTTCGGCCGCGTGTTAGGGGTGGGAAGGAAAAAGGGGAAGACGACAGTTACACACGGAGCAGTACAAGCATGCAAGTCTAAGCCCCGCCGGCCTAGGCAAAGGTAAGTCTCCGCCAATGGGGAAGAAGAAGCAGCCAATCAAAGCATCAACCAAGGTGACGTCTACATCCGCCTCACCCTCCGCCCAAGCCACCGGAGCAAACACGCGAGTGCGGGCACGATGCCAAGCGGGCACTCCTCAGCAGCCGTGGCTACCATGCGGAAAGCCGCAGCGCCAGGTCCGTCGTCCGGCGAAGGGTCCCCGGGCTCAAGTGGCAGATGCAGGACATCCCACAAGACGCTCTCCACTGCCCGCCGCACACGACCCTGCTGGTCTTCATTCATCTGCGGATCCCGCGCCACCACCTCCCGAGACAGAAGGGCGTCGTGCAGGAGGTCAAGCGCAAACGAGAGCTCAGTCACGCAACGGCCAATCGTCTGAAGATGCCGCCAACGAGACTCGTAATCCCCCTGTCCATAACAAGGCTCCCCCCAAGGAGGGCTCAGGGGCGGAGCGCTCGAGCCCCAGTTCCCCCCGTCCTGTTCCGGAGGCCACGAGAGGCAACCATCCCAATCAACCCCCGGACTCACAAATCCAAACCGAGCTCCAGGAGGACAAGACCCCGGCACGAGGGGGTGCTGGCGCCGAGGGCCGCAGTAGGCGGGATCCGGGAAAGGGAGCCCGCGAGGGCCTGGAGGAGCGGAGTCCGTCACATCCAGCCGAGGGGGGTACGAACACGCATACGGCACAGCAGGGGTCGGCACTGACAAGGAAGGCACGACTGGCTGATGAGAAGGCGAGAGGGGAGGCGGCTCCGAGCCTGGCACTGGTGCCGCAGACGGGAGAGGCGCCTGTTTGACCAATCGAGGAGCAGAAGCGCCCCGTGAGGATGGAGCGGCAGGGTCAGACGGTTGCGACTGGGGAGTCGCCTCAGGATCTGGATCAGGAAGAGATGGTCGCGACAGAGGAACAGGAGGCGCAGACTGCGCCGGAGCCTGCGCAACCGGTGGAACCTGCTGCGACGAGGCGTATTGCACCGGGGAAGGAGGTAGGTGCAATGGGGACGACTGAGAGGCGGGAGCATGGAGCTGAGGCCGTTGGCGAGCCTGGCCTGACAACGGCGTGCGAGGAGGGCGGCGGCGGCGGGAGGATTGCCCGCGCGCGCGAAGGAATGGATGGGTGCGCCCGCGAGGAGACCGGTACACAGGCTCACGCGGTCGAGCAGTCGCCATCGGGGGCGCCGAGGGCGCGACGCCAACACCTGCAGTTAGGCAGTCCGCGACGGCTCGGAACAGGGCTGGCACCTGCCCGCCCTGGGCCGCTGGTTGGATGGGAACAGCAGGAGGCCCCGCCGCCACGATCACATCACGCCGGGGTGGCCGACGCCGGCCTGTCATCAGGAACGGAACGCGCCGCGGGACAAGCAGCCGACGGAGCTGAAGGGGAGACGGCAGAGGCGGAGGACGGGACGGCAGCCGTAGAGGAGGAGCAGGTGACCACGATCGATAGGCGCCGAGGGGGAACCGCTCGGCAGAGGGTGCTGCGAGAACGGGCGGCGGAGCTGGCGGCAGGAAATCCGCCGTCGGGAACGAGAGGGCAGGCGCCGCCAGCGTGGAGAGGACGCGGCGTACGGGGTGCGAGCGGTCGGGCAGGCCGGGGGGGGCTGGCTGCAGCCGTGGCAAGAGAGAAGGCCAGATCTGGTCCTTGGCGGGAAAACACGGGAGGCCTGAGCGAGGACAGAGTGGAGCTCCAATGAATAACGACGAGGAACAAGGGGATGAGGATTATATGGAAGAAGAACAAGGGGACTCAGAGGATGTGTCATTGGAGGATGAGCAGGGCATTTCGGCGGGAGGGACAAATCGTGGGGCAAGGAGTGGAGGAAACCAAGCTGATGCCAACGAGGGTGAGTCACGCGGCACCCAACCCAACGAGACTGCCAGCAAGGCAAGATCACCAGCAGATATTGCTGATGACCCGGAGATCTGGCGCCAGGTGGAAGGGTGGGAGCTGGGCCCGATGTGTTGCAGTGCTCAACCCTTCCTGTTCCGGAAGCTGCCCCCCAAAATCCTGGGAGTTTACGCCTACTGCATGACGATCCCCCTGCTGCGACTCACGAAGGTTCCAGGCTGCGCGGGAGCATGGCGAATCGTGCAATTCCTACCCAGGTTGACCCTCCGAGCCGAAGTTGAGAACGTTCCGAGAAATCGGTGGGCCGGGGTGGAAAAGAGACTCCAACAATTTCAAGAAGAAGAGTGGGAAGTGCTCTTCTCGGAAGCATGCATCATCCCCCCGAACCCTCAACCCAGCAGACACCAAGCCGACCCTGAAGGCATGTGCGCACGGGCGGAAGGCCTAGTACAGAAGGCGAACCTGGCGAAAGCCTCGGCGGCGTTACAGTCAACCCCCCTCGCAGAGCAAACTTCTGCGACGCTCGCTGCACTTCGTGCTAAACATCCGCACGCGGGGGAGGCAACGCCATGGTGGGTTACCGGATACAACACGTCATCACTCTCAATCACGGCAGAGGAGTTTCGTGAAGTATTAGCTAAGTGCCCGAATGGCATTGGAGCGGGACCGTCAGGCACGTGTTTTGAATACCTCCGCGACCCTGCGCTGCTCAACGAGGAAGTCTCTGTCCTCCTGCACCAAGTAATCAACACAGTGCTGAGCTCCCACCTCAGTGACACCCTCAGAGATCTACTCTTACCGGCGAGGCTAATAGCTCTGGAGAAGCCAGGAGGAGGAGTCAGACCGATCGCCATCGGCGAAGCGATAATAAGGCTAACGGCAAAAGCTGCGCTGCGGAAACTCTCACCAGAAATTCGGAAGTTTTTTCTCCCGGTTCAGTTCGGCGTGGCGGTGCCCGGAGGAGCAGAGACAGTAATCCATGCTACCCGAGCACTACTGACGGAAAAACCGAGTTGTATCGCCATCCAACTGGACGTTGAAAACGCATTTAACTCCGTTGAACGAGGGAGCTTCTTCACAGCGCTCAAATGGACAGCTCTCGAACCGCTATTACCCCTGGTCCGCACGCTCTACGGCGAACCGGCACGTCTCCTGCTGGACCCGGGCTTCGACGAACGCTACATTGAAAGCACTCGGGGCGTGCGTCAAGGCGACCCACTAGGGCCAATGCTCTTCGCGGTGGCAATACAACCGACCCTATTGAGTGCAGCGGCGAGGTGTCCCAACACGGTGGTGCTGGCATACGTGGACGACATCACGATAATCGGCGAGCCGGCGGAGGCGATTAAAGGAGTGCAGATCATCACTGAGGAACTCCGCAAGTGCGGACTGCGATGCAACTTGGAGAAGTCTTCAGCGTGGTGCCCAGCAGGATGCGCGGAGGTACTCCTTCAGGGGCTGGTGGCGGCGGTCGATGGAATCCGGGTGCTGGGGAGCCCGATCGGAACCAGGGAGTACGGGATAAGGTCCCTCCGCGCAACTCTGTGCACGGTAGCATCGCCATTGACCCTCATCGGCAAACTGCACCCACAGCACGCACTCCTCCTCCTCTCAAGGTGTGTGTCAAGATGCATCTCTTACCTCCTCCGAACCACCCCGGCTGACACACTTCCTCTGGTGGAATGGAGGGACTGGAGCGAGGAACTTCTGTGGACAGCACTCAAAGCGGCAAAGATGCACGCACCCGTCGACGAGCTGGAGCAGAGCCTAGTCTGGCGCCAGGCCACGCTACCGGTCTGCCTGGGGGGGCTGGGGCTGATAGACCCGCTTTCGGAGGCACCAGCCGCGTACCTGGCATCCCTACACGCCGCCAACACCCTCCTCAGACACATGACACTGACGCCGGACAACCCGCTACAGCTTGTGGCGGACCTGGTGTCACCAATGGGAGGGGTCCAGGGGGCAGCGGCATGGGAGGTAACGCTACTGGACTTGCGCAACCGGCTACCTGACCAGGCGAGGGAGATCCTGAAAGCACAACACCACAAGGGGGAGGTGACGGGTCACCTACAGCTTATCCTCTCCAAACACATCAACTTGGACCGGGCGGCCGAGCTTGTAGGGGACACGCGGGCAGACAAGCCCGGAGCCGACAACGGGCACGTGATTCGGCTAATCAGCTTGCAAGGGGTGGGGGCGGGAGACTGGCTGCATGCAATTCCCACAAGGGGGGACCTCACCTTCTCCCCCGGACAGTTTGCAGTGGCGCTCGGCTTCCGGCTGGGCCTCCCAGTAGCAGTCACGGACAAATGCCCGTGCAAGGGGAAGCGGTCGGACATTAGGGACAGAAGCCTGCCCAACCACCTACTGCGGTGTGCCGATGGAGGGGACAGGACTAACACTCACAACGCTCTGGCGTACGCGGTGCTCCGTATGGCTCAGGAAGCGGACTACACCACCTTGTACGAGTCAGCCGCCTTCTCGCCCATAACCAACCAAAAGCGAGCAGACGTGGTGATCCGCGACAAGGAGTCCAACGAGACCTACGTGACTGACGTGACGGTCACGGACCCCGTCCTGCAGCGGCGCGATAAGAGAGCGGTAAAGGCACCAGGATGGGCGGCAGAGGATGCGGCACGAGTGAAGCGGGGCCTGTACGAGGGACGCCCAGGGTTTGTCGGAGTGTTTGGCCTGGCGGTGGAGACTTACGGGGCCCTAGCTAGGGACACCCAACGGTTCTTCCGCCTCCTGGGCACCCAGGCGGCTAAGAGGAAGCACAGACAGGGGAGGCTAACCGCGGTAGCCTCCAGACTCACGCCGCATTACCGGCAGCGTTGGTCGGTGATGCTCCAGCGCTGCCAGGCAAATGCCCTGATGGCCAAGTCCAACAGGGCACTTGAGGCAGCGCACCCCCAGGCAGCCGCGGACCCGCGAGAACCAAGCCTCGGGGACCTTTGGCAGGTCCTCGAGGATGACCTGGCCCAGCTAATCAACGCGGGTGAGTAGAGGGCCAGGTAGCCCCATATGGGACCGCCCAACCGAGGAGGGCGCGTCTCGGCTGGGCACGATAGGGGAAGGAGTAAGGTGACCTGCAGGGGGACAGGCAGGCCAGCAATGAGGTGGCAATAGGGACAGGTGTGGCTACTAGGCAATTAAGCATGGCGAGCCGGCCCGACATAGGCTCTTCATGGGACTATGCAGTTTCTTGACAGTGCATGTCTAGGCCAACTGCTTGCTAGGATTGCCATTGCTTGCTTGTACCCTATACATACATCAATGCAGGACTGCTTGAGAGAGAGAGAGAGAGAGAGAGAGAGAGAGAGAGAGAGAGAGAGAGAGAGAGAGAGAGGCACTAGGCCCTTTCCACAGTCTCTCCAAACTCTCTAGCTTAGCTTAGCCTTAGCATAGCATAGATTTAAGGCTTTCTTAGCCTCCTGTCCCTAGTGTATTCCCTGCAGCAAGCCTATAAGGAGTACATGAGCACATATAGCCTCCCCTACTGCGAGTTCAGTTTACTCTCCAAAACCGTCGGCTTGTTCGAGAGAGCGGGAGAGAGAGAGAGAGAGAGAGAGAGAGAGAGAGAGAGAGAGAGAGAGAGAGAGAGAGAGAGAGAGAGAGAGAGAGAGAGATGGTTTAGGACTAGTCCTTAGCCGTTTTCCCAGCCCTCTCTAGTGTAGGATCCAGTCCTTAGCCGTTTTTCAGCCTAGTTCCCTAGTATATAGTCCCTATATGCTCCCTTCTGAGCTCATTCTTCACTGGTGAGTTCAGTTTACTCTCCAAAACCGGCGGCTCGCGCCGGCCGCCGATCGCCAGCGCGGCCTTCGGCCGCGCGTGAGGTGTGGCAAGGGAGTAAGCTCCTAGCAGGTCAACATGGGGCAATACAAAAAGGAGGCATAGATCTACGGCAGGTACAACAACACCCCCGGGCGTGAGTACACCGCCATGGGGAAGCCCAACCCCAGACCTGCTACAAAAGGGGCTGGCAAGGGGAAGTCTACCGCTACTCAACGAGGATCCAACACAGCCTCCCGTCTAGCCAGCGCAAGACGGACGCGGCTGCCGCAACAAGGTCGAGCGCGTGGCCCCGGGCCGAAGCAGCAAGCCGCGCCAAAGCTCCAGGGCCGGGCCCGAGGGCAGCCCCAGGAGAGCCCGGCACATAGCCAATCAGGGGGAGGTAATGCTGCAGCTCCTCCGCCACCGCCACCGCCGCCGACTGCTCCGCCGGCTGCATCGCCTCGACCTGCACCTCCTGCTGCACCAGTGTCACGTGTAGCTGGTCGAGCACATATGACAGGAGTGTCATGCACGTCCCAACGTGCATCACGCGCTGCTCGACGCGACTTGGGGGCGTGCCAAGAACCAAGGCAGGGGGAGGAGGCGGGCTCGGGGCGTGCGGGAAGTGTGACGGGGGAACTTGGGGCATTGGGGGACGAGGCGGTAGCGGCTGGAAGGGTAGGGGAAAACGCCGCAGTGGGGACTGTGCTGGGGGCCGCTGTGGTGCCTAGGAGGGCGGCTGGATTGGTGCTTGAGGGAGCTGCTGCTGCTGCTGCGACTGCAGCTGAGACGGTGGCGGACCCTGTCTTTGCCGGCGGTTCTGCCGCTGCCGTTGGCGGTGGCTCAACTTCACACGCTGCCGCCCCACGGGCGGCACAGAAGGAGGCGGAGGAGCCAAGCCCGGGCGTGGATCAAGAGCAGACCGCGGAGGCGGTGTTGTCGGCGTCTCCGGCGCTTGTAACGGCGATTGTGCTAGCGGCAGTGGTGTCTGCTGCGGCTGGGGAGCAGGGCGCAGCCCCGTCAGAGGTTGACGCAATGCCTGTCGCTGCGAGCGCCGGAACGCGTGTACCTGCCGCGGCCGCAAACAGGCAGGAGCGCGGCCAGGCGGAGGGTGAGTTTCTGGGACCTGCGAACGGAGCTTCTTCCGGCGCTACACGGGCGGTTTCGAAGAAGAAGATGTGTGCCCAGCCAGCGCCGAGACGGCCCGGAGTAGGGCTGGGACCTGGCTCCCCGGGACCCCTCCTGGGCTGGCTTCTGCAAGGGCAACCGCCATCTGAGCGAGCGCATCGGTCGTCATCGGTGAGCCAGCGAGAGATGAGAGAGGAGGCTGAGGCTGGAAGTCGCCCGCCAGGAATCTCCCGGGACGCTTCCGCTCCCGGCGTAACACCAGCAACGGCAGTGCACGCTGAGGCTCCAAACACCACGAATGCCGTTGCACACAACACCCGCCACGCGACGCGACGAGCGGCAATAACCTGGGGACCGCCCCGCGGAGGTCGGACACCGTGGCTGCCGGCGGGACGTGGAGCTACGGGCGTGGTGGCAAGAGCGCCAACAAGCGCGGGGAGGACTCAACGGGGGGGCGGTGCACGGGGAGCGCGCGGAGGGCGAGGGGGAAGGGCCCTGGTGGGGGGATCTGAGATCCCTGTGCGAGTTGGCACCTGGCGGGAACGCCACGATAGACCAGAGGCGGGGGCAGCACCAACGAATGAGGAGGAAGCAGCGGGCTCTGAGGACAACGGTGGCGACCCAGAATTTATGTGTGGTGACGAAGCTGAATCTGAGGAGGTGTCCTTGGAGGAGGAAACTGGGGTGGACAGGAATGCACCCAACACACGGGGAAGAGGGTCGAGGGGGGATGGGCAGAACCAACAAGCTGTGGGAGATACAGGTGGAGCAACGGATGCAACGGATGTCTTCTCGCCTACTGACATGGCGAAGGATGAGGCCATCTGGCAAGAAGCTCGGGATTGGGATATGCAGCAACTGCAACGTAGTGACCAGCCTTTCCTTGTTCGCCGCCTACCTCCACAAATCCTAGACAAATACAGCCTCTGTCTGCTGGCGCCACTTCTGAGGCTGGAGAAGTTCCCCACGTGCCTAGGTGCGTGGAAGATTCTTCTTTTCCTTCCGAGGCTTACACTACGACCCTCTCCCGAACCTGTTATTGGGAGCCGCTGGGCTCGAATTGAGGCTCGGCTGCACCAATTTCAGCAGGGGAAATGGGAGGGACTTTTTGAGGAAGCTGGCACTATCCCCGATACCAAAGCCCCGCTACGACACCAACCGGACGACGAAGGTGTTTGTGCACGTGCCGAAGGGCTAATGAAAAAGGGCAATATCTCGAAGGCGGTTGCTGCGTTACGCACCAGCCCACTCGCTGAACCCAGTTCGGCAACCCTCGCTGCACTCCGGGCGAAACACCCACATGCTGAAGACGATCTCCCAGCCTGGGTAACAGGGGTAGCAACTTCTGAGCTCGCCATCCAGATCGACGCACTTCGCGAAATCCTGGCGAAGTGCCCGAATGGGGTGGGGGGGGGGGCCCTCTGGAACGTGCTTCGAGCACCTCAGAGATCCTGCTCTTGCAAATGAGGAGATATTAATTCTACTTGCCAAGACAGTTAACAATTTCCTTAGCACCTACCAGTCACAGGAGCTGCGCGACCTTGCCCTATCCTCGCGCCTGATAGCTTTGGAGAAACCGGGGGGTGGGGTCAGGCCTATCGCGATTGGCGAAACATTGCTCAGAGTAGTAGCAAAAGCAGCTCTACACTCGCTCGGCCCCAAGATCCGTGAGTTCTTTCTCCCGGTCCAATTCGGCGTGGCCATCCCAGGGGGAGCGGAGTGCATCATACACTCGGTTAGAGCGCTACTACAGGAGGACGTCCCGCGGATCGCGCTGCAACTGGACGTAGAGAACGCGTTCAACAGCGTCGAACGCAGGGCTTTCTTCGAGGCGCTGCAATGGTCTAACCTCAACCCCCTACTCCCCCTGGTCCGAAACCTCTACGACGGCCCGTCGAGGCTCCTGGTCGACCAGCGTTTTGACACTGAGTACATCCTGAGCTCCCGCGGAGTTCGCCAAGGCGATCCACTCGGCCCGCTCCTGTTCGCGGCGGCGATCCAGCCAGCCCTGCTGAGTGTGGCCATTACTCTACCGGATGTGGCGATCGTCGCCTACGCCGACGACATTACGATTGTCGGCCCGCGTGAAGCCGCCTGCCTCGCTTTCAACACGATCGCTGCGGCTTTGGGAAAAGCAGGACTGCGATGCAACATTGCCAAATCAACGGCCTGGGGGAGGAACGCGAGCGAGCAGCAGGAGGAGTTGCCGCTTGGGCTGACCTCGAACCCGGGAGGAATCAAGGTGTTGGGCAGCCCAATTGGGACTGATGACTTCTGCACGGACCATGTACGGGCGGCGCTGGGGGAGGCGGCATCACCGCTCCTCATTTCACAACTGGACCCGCAGCACGCGCTCCTTATGGTCTCACGCAGCATCTCACGGCGGATCTCGTACATGCTCCGGACGACCCCGGCTTCAACACTAAGTGCGCGAGAATGGAAGGAGTGGAGTGAGGCTCTCCTGGGCTCAGCGCTCACCGCGGCGAAACTACGGATCCCCACCTCCGAGCTTGAGCAAAGCCTGCTGTGGCGTCACGGGACACTCCCCATCCGCTTGGGCGGCCTCGGGGTGATCGACCCTATCTCTGAGGCACCCGCGGCATACCTGGCTTCAGTCACGGCGGCACACATCCTACTGAGGCAGCTGAACCTGCCAACGGACTGCCTCCTGAGCCAGGCGACACAGCTCCTCTCCCACGAGTGGGCCCCACTGCCACCTGAGACCAACCTCAGAGCCACGATGGAGGGTAACCTCCCTGCTGAAGCCCGAGCAACACTAGAGCAGTACAGGGCAGGGAGTCTGGGCACTGGGAACCTGCAGCTGGGGCTGTCCAAGTCTATCAACCAGCGGCGGGCGTTGGAACTCCTAGCAGACACACTTCAGGACCGGCCGGGGGAGGACAGGGGCCACGCCATCCGCCTCATCAGCCTCAAGGGGGTGGGTGCGGGTGACTGGCTCCATGCCATCCCAACGAGAGGAGACCTCAGCTTATCCCCTGGTCAATTCTCGATGGCCTTGGGCCTGCGGTTGGGCATGGAGCTGCCGGTCGCCGAGGTGTGTCCGTGCAAGCGGGAAAACGCGACGATCGCCGATAAGAGCCTCCCCAACCACCTCCTGCGGTGTGGGGATGGAGGGGACGTCGTAAGGACCAATCACGCCCTAGTTTTCGCGGCTCTCAGGATGGCCAAGGATGCGGGTTACAAGACGTTCCATGAGACCACGGCTTTCTCTCCCCCCGTCCTCCGAAAGCGTGCAGACCGGGCCATCCGAGACCAGGAGTCAGGGGAAACGTGGGTGACGGATGTCACGGTCACAGATCCGGTACTGCAAAGGCGGGACAAGAGAGCCAGGAAGCCGCCTGGGTGGGCAGCGGAGGAAGCTTCCGAGGGAAAGCACATGCTGTACGAGGGCCGCCCTAGCTACGCTGGGTTTTTTGGGCTGGCGGTAGAGACGTATGGGGCTCTGGCTAAGGACACGCAGCAGTTCATCCGTTTGCTAGCCACCCATGCCGCCAAGACGAAATACAGGAAGGGACGCCTCACGACGACCGCCGCCCGACTCAATGCACACTTCAGACAACGGTGGTCCGTGGTGCTCCAGCGCAGCCAGGCGATCTCCATCCTCTCCAAGTCCAACCGAGCGGCGGACGCGGCCTTCCCACAGACAGCGGCGGACCCTTGGGCACCCAGGCTAGGGGACCTTTGGCAGACCCTAGAAGACGAGTATGAGGAGCGGCACGCCCCTGCCAGGGCGGCCTGAGAGACTGAGGGGGCCGGGGGGTGAGCACGAGGATCCTGCCACTGCTGACTGGGAGGGTTCGGAGGCGTCGCTTCATACCCTTGGGCCCAAGATAAGGGATTTTTTGTTACCAGTTTAGTTTGGAGTGGCGGTTCCAGGAGGTGCGGAGTGCATCATCCACACGGTCCGCTCTCTACTCCGTGAGGATAAGACCCGCATCGCTCTCCAGCTAGACATCGAAAATGCCTTCAACAGTGTCGAGCGAAGGGCTTTCCTAAGCTCGCTGCAGTGGTCCAACCTGAGCCCGCTACTTCCCCTGGTCCGAAATCTGTACGACGGTCCATCGCCTCTGCTCGTAGATGCTCGACTGGGAGTAGACCAAATTCAGAGCACACGTGGCGTCAGACATGGAGATCCCTTGGGCCCTCTCTTGTTCGCAACAGCGATCCAGCCCGCCCTCTTGAGCGTCTCGGTGACAACACCGGAAGTGGAAGTGGTAGCCTACGCGGACGACATCACCATTATCGGCCAACGGGAAGCAACGTGCCGTGCTTTCACCAAGATAGCGGGCGACTTGGCCGAATATAGACTACGCTGCAGCATTTCTAAGTCATCGGCATGGGGAGCAGAGCACGACGGAGATAACAAGGAGCTACCACTAGGCTTGGTGGCGGACCCGGGCGGGATACGGGTCCTTGGCAGCCCTATCGGCAGCGACGACTTCTGCACTGCCCAAGTCCGGGCGGCACTGGGGGAAGCTGCCTTGCCCCTTCCCCTCGTCTCTCAGCTAAACCCGCAACATGCCTTGCTCATAATCTCCCGCAGCATATCCCGGCGCGTCTCATACATGCTGAGGACGACGCCGGCGACGACCTTGGGCGCTGAGGAGTGGAGGGACTGGAGTGAGGCATTGGTTGGCTCGGCGCTCACAGCTGCAAAGCTCCGCATCCCTAACTCGGAGCGGGAGCAGAGCTTACTGTGGCGACAGGCCACCCTCCCGATTTGGCTGGGCGGTTTGGGAATCATTGTCCCTGTCTCTGAGGCCCCGGCCGCCTACATCGCTTCTGTCACGGCGGCGCACATCCTTCTGCAGCACCTGAACCTTCCTCCGGACTGCCTGCTACACAGAGCAACGGCCCTGCTCTCCCACGATCGGAGCCCACTACCGCCGGACAGCAGCACACTGTCAAGCTTAGAGGAGGGGCTGCCAGCCCAGGCACAGGTGGCGCTGGGAGCCTACAGGACGGGGAACAAGGGCACAGGCAGCCTCCAGCTGTGCCTCTCCAAGATACTCAACCAGCAGCGGGCGGTCGAGCTCCTGGGGGACACGGTGGCGGACAGGCCTGGCACCAACAGAGGTCACGCGCTGAGACTGATAAGCCTGAGAGGGACTGGCGCAGGCGACTGGCTACATGCGGTACCAACGAGAGCTGACCTTTCTATTTCCCCAGGTCAGTTCTCGTTGGCCTTGGGCCTACGCCTGGGCATGGAGTTGCCAGTAGCTGACGTGTGCCCGTGCAAACGTGACAACGCGGCAATCGGGGACAAGAGTCTGCCGAACCACATGCTGCGCTGCCAGGACGGGGGTGATGCCGTCAGAACCCACGACGCCCTTGTCTATGCGGCGCTGCGGATCGCTAATGAGGCGGGCTACAAAACGTTTCATGAGACCTCAGCGTTCTCACCACCAGTCCTCAGGAAACGGGCAGATTTAGCAATTCGGGACCAAGAGTCGGGGGCGACATGGGTAACGGATGTCACCGTGACAGACCCAGTTTTACAGAACAGAGACAGCAGGGCCCGCAGGCCGCCTGGGTGGGCCGCGGAGGAAGCCTCACAGCGGAAGCATCGGCTATACGAAGGGCGCCTCACCTATGCCGGATTCTTTGGACTGGCTGTCAAGACCTACGGGGCCATGGCGGCAGACACAGTCCAGTTCCTTCGCATGCTGGCTACCCACGCAGCGAAGACGAAGTTCAGACAGGGGCGCCTCACAACAACGGCAGCTCGGCTCACTGCACACTACCGCCAGAGGTGGTCGGTGATGCTGCAGCGCAGCCAAGCCATCTCACTCCTCTCTAAGTCCAACCGAGCAGCCAAAGCGGCATTCCCGCAGGCTGCAGGAGACCCCTGGGCCCCACGGCTAGGGGACCTCTGGCAGATGGCGGAGGATGAGTATGAGGAGCGGGAGGCTCCTGCCAGGGCGGCTTAGAGGGGCAGGAGGGAAAAGTCGGCGACTGCAGGAAAGTGAGAGGAAGCTCCGGGGGGGCAGGGGGACTTGGGTGGGGTTGGGGGAGCCACAGGACAGGAGGAGAGGGAGGTACTCGGGGTTTTGGCTCTACTGCTAGCCGGCCCGCTAAGATGTTAGGGGACAGGGCCGTACACAAACTGCATGCACTGCTGGGCTTGCCTTGCTTGCTCATATGTTTGCCTGTTCGCTTGCATGCTCTGTTTGCTAGCTCTTAGGTTTCCTGGCTGCCTACAGGCCCAGACAAACTAGCTACAGCCATCTCCTGTCATGTCCGTACCTCATGACCACTATCAATACATGACTACTTGAGAGAGAGAGAGAGAGAGAGAGAGAGAGAGAGAGAGAGAGAGAGAGAGAGAGAGAGAGAGAGAGGGACTACATGACAGGGTACGGGACTGGGGATTGGCTGACCGCTATCCCGATTGCGGCCAACAGGAGGATAGGGCCCACTCACTTTTCCAATGCCGTACGTTTCCGGCTGGCCCTCCCCTTCTCCACGCCGAAGAATTGTGACTGTGCGGATCACACGGAGATCACGGACCCCCGCCTCCCGAACCACCTTCTCCGCTGCGGCACAGGCAAGCATCGCATCAACACCCACAACGAGCTACGCGATGCCTGCATCAGCATGGCCCAGGACGCGGGTTTCATCGTTCACAGCGAGTCCTCAGCGCACTGCCCCGTTGAGGAACAGACGGCCGACTTTACAATGACAGACAGGAGCAGTGGGGCCGTCTATGTATGTGACGTCACCATCACCGACCCCATTAGCACAAGGGATCCGGAGGCACAGAAGGGCAGGGGCTGGGCGGCCCGGGAGCAAGCGGACAAGAAAATCCAGCATTGCGCCTCCCTACCAGAGACGGTGACCTTCTTCCCCCTGGCTGTGGACACCTATGGCTGCTCGTGTGCGGAGGTACCAGCCTTTTTGAAGCTCTTAGCGGACACTGCAGCTCGGCGGCACTTCAACGCCGACTCTAAATCGTTCTATGCTGCAAAGTTCCTGCACCAGTTCAGGCAACGCTGGTCTGTGGCCCTGCAAAGGGCCCAATCTGTAGGCCTCCTGCTCAAGCTTGGGGAGGCGGCGGCGGTTGAGAACCCGCCGGTGGGAGGAATTGGGGATGAGTTGCATCTAGGGGACTGCTTTGCAGTGATTGAGCCCCTAGTAGAGTTGTAGATCAGCCATGTTTGCAACCAGCATGCTTGTTACCTAGGCCACTATAACTTGCCTGCCTGTACTTGACTGCTATATCAATAATAGGACCATTAGAGAGAGAGAGAGAGAGAGAGAGAGAGAGAGAGAGAGAGAGAGAGAGAGGCACTAGGCCCTTTCTACAGTCTCTCCAAACTCTCTAGCTTAGCTTAGCCTTAGCATAGCATAGATTTAAGGCTTTCTTAGCCTCCTGTCCCTAGTGTATTCCCTGCAGCAAGCCTATAAGGAGTACATGAGAACATATAGCCTCCCCTACTGCCTCATTCCCACCATTATTCTCTGGTGAGCTTGGTTCCTCCCAACCCAGCGGCTCGTTCGAGAGAGCGAGAGAGAGAGAGAGAGAGAGAGAGAGAGAGAGAGAGAGAAAGGGAGAGAGAGAGGCACTAGGCCCTTTCCACAGTCTCTCCAAACTCTATAGCTTAGCTTAGCCTTAGCATAGCATAGATTTAAGGCTTTCTTAGCCTCCCGTCCCTAGTGTGTTCCCTGCAGCAAGCCTATAAGGAGTATATGAGCACATATAGCCTCCGCTACTGCCTCATTCCCGCGATTATTCTCTGGTGAGCTTGGTTCCTCCCAACCCAGCGGCTCGCTCGTGAGAGCGAGAGAGAGAGAGAGAGAGAGAGAGAGAGAGAGAGAGAGAGAGAGAGAGAGAGAGAGAGAGAGAGAGAGAGAGAGAGAGAGAGAGAGAGAGGGATAGCCTAGTTCAGTCCTTAGCCGTTTTTAGACCTTCTCCCCTAGGATCTAGTCCTTAGCCGTTTTTAGAGTACTTCCCCTAGTATAAAGCCCCTAAACCTATCCTTGTGAGCTCATTCTTCACTGGTGAGTCTAGTTCACTCTCCAAAACCGGCGGCTTGCGCCGGCCGCCTTCGGCGGCCGCCGCTCGCCGGCGCGGCCTGCGGTCACGCGTGAGGTGCGGCAAGGAAATTCCAATGACATGATTCATAATAGCATTCGATACAACATGCAGTGGTAGGGCCCTACAGCAAAATCAACACCCCCGGGCGTGCCTACACCGCCATGGGGAAGCCCAAGGCTAAACCCGTTGGGAAGGGGGAAAGCAGAGGGGACAAGCCGGCTACTCGGAGAGTATCCAGCACAGCCTCCCGTCCATCCAGCGTAGGACGGATGCGGCGGCTGATACAAGACCAAGAGGGGCCCCCTGCGCAGACTCAGCAAGCCGCAGCATTGCCCTAGGGCCGGGCCCGAGCGCAGCACCAGGGGCGCCCTGGACAAGCCCGATCAGGGGGAGATAATGCAGCATCTCCCTTGCGGCAGACACTGCCGCTGACTGCTCCGACGGCAACATCCCCCCAACCTCCACACCATGCCGCGCCAGACACACATGCAGTTGGTCCAGCACGTAGGACAGCAACGTCAAACACGTTCCCACGTGCATCACGCGCTGCTCGACGTGGAAAGGAGTCGCTGCCACATGCGCGGCAACATGAGGATCCCGTGGAACGTGTGGGAATAACTGCACATCGGGAGGCGCCGGAGGAACAGGAGACGACGGGGGGCGAGGCGGCTGCGGCCGAGGCGGCAGGGGGAAGTGGCGCAATGGGGTCTGAGACAGAGGTGGCCGCGACGGTTGAGGATGCAGCTGCTGCGGGGCTGGAGGGGGTTGCTGCTGAGGCGACTGAGACGACGGCTGCTGCTGAGCCTGGCGGGCCTGACGCTGCCTCTGGCGGCGGCTCAGCCTCACCCCCTCCCATCCCCCAGGCACGGCAACCGGGGGAGACGGGACCACCAGTGGCTTAGGAACCGACCATGGCGGTGGAGCTGACGGCGTCACCGGAGCCTGTAACGGCGTCTGCACCGGCTGCGGTGGCGACTGCAGCGACAGGGGAACAAGGCGGAGCCCGGACCGAGGAGGATGCGCTGGTCGCCGGTGCGGACGCCGAAACCTTTGTAGCTGCCGAGGGCGCAAACACGCAGGGACACAACCTGGGGGGGAGCGGTAGACAGGGCCGCGGAGCTGACGGGACTGCCGGCGCCGCCCGCGGGAAAATGGCGCCTCGAGCCCGGCCAGCACCGAGGCGGCCCGGAGCAAGGCTGGGACTTGGTCCCCTGGGACCCCTCCTGGGCTGGCTTCTGCAAGGGCAGTTGCCACAAGGGCAAGAGCGTTATTTGCCATCTGCGGGAACAAGTGACGGGAGAGGGGAAGCAAGCGACGGGATCAGGCCTACACCCACACCGACCATAGTGACAGGGAACACGAGGGCGGACCCTGCAATGCAACAACCCCCGCGTCAAGAATTGCGGAACTCGACGGGCGGAGAGGAGGGATCGACCACGGCTGCCGCCACGGCTCAACAGACTCCTCGGCGCAAAACCCGTAGTGCCACGAGGGCGCAATGCATCACCTGGGGCCAGCCAAGGGCTGGCCAGGCAACGCCGATGGTGACACCGTGGATCCCGGCGGGAGCACCGCAACGGGCGGGCCGAGTCGAGCAGAACACCGGCCTTCGGGGGGGAGAAATGGCCCGCAGAGCAAGGGGAGGAGTGCGAGGGGCCAGAACCATCGGAGGAAATCTCGTTGGAGGAGGAGGAGGGAACACACATGACGAGAACAACTGGGGAGCGAAGGAGAACCCAGAACAATGGGGTAAACCCCCGGGGCGATAACCCACAGGGTGCGGGAATTGGGAACGAGGGAGCGCCAAGAGCAAGGGGGAACCCAAGTGTGGTGGGAGAAAATGGGGACGCAACCAACGAGGGACAGAGCGACTCTGGGGTCAGATCACCGTCTGACCTGGCAGAGGATTCTGCCATCTGGGAGCTGGCTGCCACGTGGGATAAATACCCACTCCAAAAAGGGGATCAACCCTTCTTGGTCCGCAGAATGCCGCCCAGGATCCTGGAAAGTTACTCGCTCTGTCTCCTGGCGCCCCTCATTCGACTCTCGAAGAATCCTGACTCCCCAGGTGCATGGGCGATCTTGCTGTATCTGCCGAGGCTGACGCTACGCCCGGCCTCCGAACCTGTTGAAGGCAGCCGGTGGACAGAAATAGAGCTGCGCCTGCACCAGTTCCAACTCGGCAGCTGGCAGGCTCTGTACACCGACGCATGTGTTATCCCCGACAATGAAAACCCGACACGACACCAGCCGGATGACGCAGGTTTATGCGCGAGGGCGGAAGGATTGATACGAAAAGGAAACATTTCCAAGGCGGTAGCAGCGTTACGAACTACACCGCTCGCGAAAGCGACGGCAGAAACATTGACTGCACTTCAAGCGAAACACCCCGCGGCCGAAACTTCGCTACCAGGACCGGTTACAGGGTTCAACCGTTCGACCCTCAGTGTATCAACAGACGAACTTCGCGAAATCTTGAAGAAATGCCCGAACGGGGTTGGAGCCGGCCCATCTAGCACCTGTTTTGAACACCTCAAGGATCCGGCACTGGCAAACGGGGAGGTGCTTATTCTACTCGCTAAGGTGGTGACGTACCTGCTGAGCACGTTCCAAACACAAACGACCCGAGATCTGCTGCTGCCATCACGGTTGATCGCTCTAGAAAAACTAGGCGGTGGAGTCCGGCCTATTGCGATAGGGGAGGCCATCCTTCGAGTTGTAGCTAAGGCGGCACTGCGTGGTTTAACCGAGAACATTAAGGCCTTTTTCCTACCAGTCCAGTTTGGGGTAGCGATACCGGGTGGCGCGGAGTGTATCGTCCACTCCGTCAGATCGCTACTGAGAGACGATGATACACGAGTAGCACTGCAGCTGGACATAGAAAACGCCTTCAACAGTGTTGAACGGGCGGCTTTCTTCAACGCTCTCTCCCAATCCAGTCTACTGCAGCTAATGCCCCTGGCCCGAACACTCTATGAGGCACCGTCGCCACTCTTGGTTGACGAGCGGTTCGGAGTGAACCAAATCCTCTCGTCACGCGGAGTGCGTCAAGGGGACCCGCTCGGTCCACTACTCTTCGCGGCAGCTATTCAACCATGCCTGCTAAGTACGGCGACCCTCCTACCGGAAGTCGCGATAGTAGCCTACGCCGACGACATAACGATCGTGGGGCCAAAGGAGGCCTGCTATGAGGCCTTTGGGGCCATTACTAGGGAGCAGGCAACACTCGGCCTCCGCTGCAACATCGCAAAATCGTCGGCCTGGGGACAGTCGTTGGCGGAAGACGGCAGCACGCCACCTCCCATCGGCCTGCAGCAGACCACCGACGGGATCCGAGTCCTAGGCAGCCCAGTAGGCGTGCCCACCTTCTGCACCACCCAAGCACAAACACGGCTTGTTGAGGCGTCGGCCCCGCTGCCCCTGGTGGCGCAGCTCCACCCGCAGAGTGCAATGCTCATCCTCACGAGGAGCATATCCCGCCGAATGTCCTACTTCTTGCGGATGACACCGGCGGAAGTCCTGGGGAGAGATGAGTGGAGGAGCTGGAGTGAGAACCTGATGGCAACGGCTCTAGCAGCAGCGAAGCTCCGAGTACCCTCAGATGAGCTGGAGAGGAGTTTGTTGTGGCGCCAAGGGAGTCTGCCAATCAGGCTGGGAGGCCTGGGGATTCTTGACCCAGTCTCCGAGGCACCTGCGGCCTACATCGCCTCGGTCACAGCGGTGCAGCAGCTGCTGAGCCCGATAAACTTGCCTGAGGCCTATCTCTTGAGTAGGGCGGTCGAGCTGCTCTGCCCTGATTGGACCCCAGCCCCGCCTAGCATCAACCGCCTGACAACTCTGGAGGCCGGGCTACCCCTAGCGGCACGGGCGGCACTGCACACTTACAGGGAGCAGCCGGCGGGACAGGGGAACCTTCAACTGACCCTGTCCCGCCACATCAACGAGACGAGAGCGGCGGAGCTACTGGCCAACACAATAGAAGACCGCCCAGGGAAGGACCGTGGGCACGCATTGCGGCTCATCAGCCTGCAAGGGGTAGGCGCGGGGGATTGGCTCCATGCCGTCCCAACGAGATCTGACCTTACTTTTGCCCCTGGTCAGTTCTCGTTGGCACTTGGCTTCCGCCTCGGAATGGCTCTGCTAGTCACAACCACCTGCCCGTGCAAGCGAGCCAACACTGCAATCACGGACACGAGCTTGGCAAACCACCTCTTACGGTGTGGGCACGGAGGAGATGTAGTCCGCACACATGATGCTCTAGTGTTTACTCTGCTCCGGATGGCAAAGGAGGCCGACTTCACGGTTTTCCACGAAACCACCGCCTTTTCCCCACCGGTGCTGAGGAAGAGAGGAGACCTGGCTATTCAGGACAAGGAGTCAAATGAGACTTGGGTAACAGACGTGACAGTGACCGACCCAGTGCTGCAGTGCCGTGACAAGCGCGCCCGGAAGCCGCCTGGATGGGCGGCACGAGAAGCCTCAGAGAAGAAACACAGGCTCTATGAGGGGCGGCCTGACTACGTGGGTTTCTCCGGGTTGGCAGTGGAAACATACGGTGCCCTGGCTACGGATACCCAACAGTTCATCCGCTTGCTAGCAACCTCGACGGCGAAAACCAGGTTCCGCCAGGGGAGGCTCACCACCACCACTGCTCGGCTCACCGCTCACTACAGGCAGCGCTTCAGCGTTATGCTCCAGCGCTCACAGGCCTCGTCATTCCTGAACAAGTCAAACATAGGGGACGTGGCAGCCTTCTCACAGGTTGCCAGGGACCCCTGGGAACCTAGCCTAGGGGATCTCTGGCAAGTCCTGGAGGATGAGATGGATGGGGTGATGGGTCAGTGAGCGGGATAGATACTGCATGGGGTCTGGCTAAGTGTTAGCCAAATGCTTCTCTGGCTCAGGCCTCTGTGGATTGCCTTGCCTTGCCTTGTTTGCCTAGCTCGGGTGGGCCTTGCTTTGTGGGCATGTTCTGTGTGTTTTGCACCCCCTCACTTGTCCCCAAGTTCATGACCCACTGTCACAAAGGATTTGCTAGCCTGGCCACCCGTGGTGCCCACCTCGGCCTTGCCAAGCATTACCGGCTGCTCGCAGTACTAGGGATGTTCTGCACCTGTTCTTGCCATGCCTGTACCCCTATGAACCTATCAATGAAGGACTTCTGGAGAGAGAGAGAGAGAGAGAGAGAGAGAGAGAGAGAGAGAGAGAGAGAGAGAGAGAGAGAGAGAGATAGTATATAGTCCTTAGATGCACCCTTTTTGAGCTCATTCTTCACTGGTGAGTTCAGTTTATTCCCCAATTCCTCGGTGGTGAGCCAATTCTCACTGCGAATCCAGCGGCTTGTTTGTTCGAGAGAGAGAGAGAGAGAGAGAGAGAGAGAGAGAGAGAGAGAGAGAGAGAGAGAGAGAGAGCGAGAGAGAGAGAGAGAGAGAGAGAGAGAGAGATATAGTATATAGTCCTTAGATGCACCCTTTTTGAGCTCATTCTTCACTGGTGAGTTCAGTTTATTCCCCAAACCCAGCGGCTCGCGCCGGCCGCCTTCGGCGGCCGCCGCTCGCCAGCGCGGCCTTCGGCCGCGCGTGAGGGGAGACAAGGAAAAGGGACGACAAGGACTATAGCGGCAAGAGGTACAACATGCTGGAGTAGCATTCTACAACAACAGCAACACCCCCGGGCATGACTTCACCGCCATGGGGAAGCCCAAAGCCAGGCCTGCCTCTCAGGCGGCCGGTAAAGGGAAGGCACCAGCTACTCAACCAGGATCCAGCAAAGCCGCCCGTCCAACCAGCGTAGGACAGACGCGGCAGCGGCTACAAGGTCGAGAGGGTCCTCCTGGGCAGACTCGGCAAGCCGTGCCAAAGCTCCAGGGCCGGGCCCGAGGGCAGCCCCGGGGGAGCCCGGCACAAAGCCAATCAGCGGGAGGTAATGCTGCAACTCCTCCGCGGCCGCCACTGCCGCCGTCTGCTCCGCTGGCTGCATTGCCCCGATCTGCACCTCCTGCTGCACCAGAGTCACGTGAAGCTGGTCTAGCACGTACGACAAGAGCGTCAAGCAAGTCCCCACGTGCATCACGCGCTGCTCGACGAGAGTTGGAGGCTGACCAGGAACCTCGGCTTGAGGGGGCGGCGGGGCAGGAGGCGTTACTGGAACCCATGGGTGCTGCACAGGGGGGCCTTGGAATGAGTACTGATGGAATGACGAGGGGCCCGACACAGACTGAGGGACCTGAGCGGGCGGAGGAGGGGACGGAGGAACATGGTACACCGAGGAGCGATGCTGCTACGGATGGAGGGGTAAAGGAAACCGACGGAGCGGAGATTGAGCTGGAGGCGGCTGCGCCGCCCGCGGTGGCGGCTGGTGAGGAGTCTGGAGTCGCGGCTGCTGGAGTGCCTGCGGTCCTGGTGTCTGCTGGCGCCTCTGCCGCTGCCTTTGACGCCGGCTCAGTTTCGCCCTCTGCCACCGCGCGGGCTGCACAGGCGGAGGCTGAGGGGACGAGGCTGGGCGCGAGTCCGGAACAGACTGCGAAGGCGGCGCTATCCGCGTCACCGGCGCCGGTGACGCCGGCCGTGCTGGCGGCGGCGGTGTCTGCTGCGACTGGGGTGCGAGGCGACGCCCCAACGGCGGAAGGCGCGACGACTGCCGCTGCGAACGTCGGAATGCCTGCTGCTACCGCGGCCTCAAGGAGGCAGGAGCACGTCCAGGCTGAGGGAGAGACTCCGAGGCCCCCGAACGGCGCTGCCTTAGGCGCTGCACGAGTGATGTCGACGAGGAAGCCGCGGGCCCAGCCAGCGCCGAGACGGCTCGGAGCAGGGCTGGGACCTGGCTCCCCGGGACCCCTCCTGGGCTGGCTTCTGCAAGGGCAACTGCCATCAGAGCGAGTGCATCGGTCGTCATTTGCGCACACGCAAGAGGCACGGGGGGTTTCTGGGCTCAATGAGGCGACAACAGAGGCAACAACAACCCGTGTGGCAAAGCAGCCGGCACCAAACCAGGACAGCGGAGCACACACGCACTCACCGTCAAGCCCAGTAGCTCCAACTGCGGCGGCCGTCGCCACTCGTCGCTCAGCTCGTTTGGGTGCTGTCACGTGGGGCCCACCAAGGGGAGGCAGAACGCCATGGATGCCGGCGGAAAGAGCGGGACTAGCGGCGACGCCTCAGCCAGCACTGGCGGCGAATCGGGGTTTCTGCGGTATGGATCGCAGGAGGCGAGGGGGAAGGCGCGGGGGTGTTGCTTGCTTGGGGGGAGCGGAGATCCAGGCACGAACAGGCCCTTGGCGGGAACGCCACGACCACCCAGAGGTTTTGGAAGCCCCAGCCAATGGGGTCGATGCTGAGCCTGCTGAGGACATGGGGGACCCTGAGTTTATGTGTGGAGAGGAGGCGGGCCCGGAGTCCGAAGAGGTGTCTCTGGTTAACGAGGAGGATTTGGGAAGAGGCCGGAATCGAGTGCGAGGGACAGGAGAGGGAGTGGCCAGGGCAACATCCCAGGCTGAAGGAGTATCTAAGCCAGCTCCCACGGTAACCGACGAAGTGAAATCGCCGGCCACCCTGGCAGAGGATGACGCCATCTGGCAAATGGCGGGCACATGGACTATGGATCTCCTTCAACGGATGGACCAACCCTTCCTAGTCAGACGCTTACCACCCCAAGTGCTGGACAAATTCTGTTTGTGTCTCCTCGCACCTCTCCTGCGGTTGTCGACGAACCCAGAATGCCCAGGTGCTTGGGCGGTCCTACTATACCTCCCGAGGCTGACACTTTGCCCCCCACCAGAGCCTGTCACTGGAAATCGGTGGGCAGCGATTGAGGCTCGGTTACATCAGTTCCAGTTGGGAGAGTGGGATGGGTTGTTCGAGGCAGCCTGCACTATCCCCAACACGGGGGGTCCGCTAAGGCATCAAGACGATGACGAAGGGGTTTGCGCAAGAGCGGAGGGTTTGGTTCAAAAAGGTAACATTTCGAAGGCGGTTGCGGCGTTACGCACAAGCCCCCTCGCCGACCCAAGCTCTGCAACCCTGGCTGCCCTACGGGCGAAACACCCACCGTCAAGCGCCCCAACACCATCATGGGTTAGCGGGATCCCTGACTCTGAGCTCCGTATCCCACTCGAGGCTCTGCTCGAAATCCTCGCGAAATGCCCGAATGGGGTAGGGGCAGGGCCCTCGGGCAGCTGTTTTGAACACCTACGAGACCCAGCCCTAGCGAACGAGGAGATCCTCCTGTTGCTGACGAACGTGGTAAATCGCCTCGCCGGCTCTTTCCAGAGTCAATCAGTCCGCGACCTCCTACTCCCCTCTCGACTCATAGCCTTGGAAAAGCCTGGGGGAGGAGTTAGACCAATTGCAATAGGCGAGGCGTTGCTCCGCGTGGTGGCTAAAGCGGCGCTGCACAGCTTGGGCCCGAAAATCCGGGAATTTTTCCTACCCGTACAGTTCGGCGTCGCGGTTCCTGGGGGAGTGGAGTGTATTATCCACGCGGTTCGTTCTCTCCTTAAGGACGACGAGACCCGCGTAGCTCTACAGCTCGATGTGGAAAACGCATTTAACAGTGTAGAACGCGCGTCATTCCTCTCCGCCCTCCAGTGGTCTACTCTCAACACGCTGCTCCCGCTTGTCAGGAACCTCTACGATGGCTCCTCGCGGCTTCTTGTGGACCCCCGTCTGGAAGTTGAGCACATCGTACGCTCCAGAGGTGTCCCCCAAGGGGATCCGCTGGGGCCTCTCCTTTTTGCGGCAGCAATCCAGCCGATACTACTCAGCGTGGCCACGAGCATACCGGAGGTGGCAATAGTAGCGTATGCCGACGACATCACCATCGTCGGGCCTCGCGAGGTGGCGTGCGTGGCTTTTAACACAGTAGTCACGGAGCTGGCTTCATGCGGATTACGTTGCAACCTTACCAAGTCCGCGGCGTGGTGGGCTTTGTGGGAGGAAGGAGGGGATGGTCTGCCACATGGTCTTCCTGTCCACCCAGGCGGCTTGAAGGTGTTGGGCAGCCCGGTTGGCGGCGACGCCTTCTGCACCGACCAGGTCCGCAGGACGCTAGCGGAGGTGGCGGCGCCGCTACATCTCGTCGCCCAACTCAACCCGCAGCACGCCTTACTCATGCTATCTCGGAGCATCTCCCGCCGCATCTCGTACCTCCTACGCACAACACCAGCGGATGCACTGGCCCGTACGGAGTGGCGGGAGTGGAGCGAGGCACTGGTAGGAGCCGGGCTCGCGGCGTCAAAGCTTCGGATCCCGCCAAGTGAGCTGGAGCAGAGTCTGTTGTGGCGCCAGGCCACGCTCCCGGTGCGGCTAGGAGGTTTGGGAATCATTGACCCCATCTCCGAAGCCCCAGCAGCGTACCTAGCCTCAACTGCAGCGGCGCACCTTCTCCTGTAGCAGCTGAACCTGCCGCCAGACTACCTTCTTCACAAGGCCGGGAATCTCCTCTCCCCGACATGGGCCCCACCGCCCCCCCGGGCCAACCCGCTGGCACCGCTTGAGGCCAGGCTCCCAGCACAGGCTGCAGCAGTCCTCCGCGGCTATAGGGAGAACCTGAAAGGCATGGGCAACCTGCAGCTGGGCCTGTCTAAGGCCATTAACCACACGCGCGCGGAAGAGCTGCTCGCAGATACGGTCACAGATAGGCCGGGGGTGGACAGGGGCCATGCAATTCGGCTAATTAGCTTGAAAGGAGTGGGAGCAGGTGACTGGCTCCATGCAGTGCCAACGAGGGCTGACCTCTCAATCTCCCCTGGTCAGTTCTCCATGGCACTGGGCCTGCGCCTTGGCATGGAGTTACCGGTAGCGGAGGTTTGCCCCTGCAGGAGATCCAACTCCTCTACTGCTGACAAGAGCCTGCCAAACCATCTGCTCCGTTGTGCCGACGGCGGGGATGCGGTGCGCACCCACAACGCCCTGGTCTTTGCAGCCCTCCGCATGGCGCAGGAAGCAGGGTATAGGACCTTCCACGAGACGACTGCCTTCTCTCCCCCTGTAGCGAGTAAGCGAGCGGACCTCGCCGTTCGGGACCCGGAATCAGGGGAGACTTGGGCAACAGACGTGACAGTCACGGACCCGGTCCTGCAGAGGAGGGATGTGAGGGCACGGAAACCGCCAGGATGGGCAGCGGAGGAGGCGTCGCAGACAAAACATCGGCTCTACGTAGGGCGCCCTGGATACGTCGGCTTCTTTGGTTTGGCAGTTGAGACCTATGGAGCCCTGGCGGCCGACACCCAGCAGTTCCTCCGTATGCTAGCCAACTATGCGGCACTGAAGAAATACCGCCAGGGGCGCCTCACCACCACTGCCGCCCGCCTTAATGCACACTACAGGCAGCGGTGGTTGGTCATGCTTCACTCCTATCTAAGTCGAACAGGGCGGCCGCGGCGGCTTTTCCACAGGCGCCGGCAGACCCCTGGGCCCCCCGGCTGGGGGACCTCTGGCAAATGCAAGAGGATGAGTACGAGGAGCGTCAAGCCCCTGCCAGAACGGCTTAGAGGGCGGGGAGGGAGTGGGAGTGGGGGAGGTTTAGCCGGACGACGGCAGGAAGCTGCGTATGGGGAAAGGGACTGTGGACAGAGAGGCAGGATCAGTAGGGGGAGTCCAGAAGCAGGAGGACTGTAGGGACAGGGTTTGGTGGCCTTGGTACTGGCTGGCTCGTTCGTCCTAGTGTGTGGTGGCCTGTTTCAACATCTGGAGAGCTGGTTCTCTGTGTTTTGCTAGTTGTTCGTTTGCCTAGCTTGCTGGTCTCGCTATGTTGGACTCACGATTGCTTGCACGTTTAGACCGAGTGGTAGCTCCTTGCTTGTACCTTGCAAACCATGTCAATACATGACTGCTTGAGAGAGAGAGGCACTAGGCCCTTTCCACAGTCTCTCCAAACTCTCTAGCTTAGTTTAGCCTTAGCATAGCATAGATTTAAGGCTTTCTTAGCCTCCTGTCCCTAGTGTATTCCCTGCAGTAAGCCTATAAGGAGTACATGAGCACATATAGCCTCCCCTACTGCCTCATTCCCGCCATTATTCTCTGGTGAGCTTGGTTCCTCCCAACCCAGCGGCTCGCGCCGGCCGCCTACGGCGGCCGACGCTCGACGGCGCGGCCTTCGGCTGCGCGTGAGGGGAGGCAAGTACAAGGGGACAAGAGCAACGTTAAACAATGGCATACATTACAAAAGGGCTCAACTAAGGCTGCCAAGAGTCACACAATAGGTAAGCCCCCAGGCATGGGGAGGAAAAAGCCCACAACCAAGGTGACAAAGGCGAAGCCGCCTAAACCTGACGCACCCGCTGCTCAAGCCAGCGGAGCAAGGACGAGATCACAGGGACCACCTCCAAAGGCGCCGACTCAGCAGCCTTGGCTACCCTTCGGAAGGCCGCGGTGCCAGGACCTTCGTCCAGTACAGGATCCACAGACTCCAGCGGCAAACACAACACCTCCCACAGTGCGCCAGCCACCGCCGCCCGCACGTGCGCCAACTGCAGCTCGCCAAATTCGGGATCACGCTGGACAATCTCCCGCGTTTGAAGAGCATGATGGAGGTGCTCCAACACAGCAGCCACGCCAGCCACACAACGGCAAAATTGCAACAGCCGCGAATCAGGGGTGGGATACGGCACCTCGGCAGGAGGAGCGCACCAGGGAGGGCCCCAACCACCATTACGCGGGCGACGAGACCATGACACCCCCCAGGGATCAGCAGGCGGACCAGGAGGCGCCGGTGGCGATAAACGGGGAGGAGGAGGCGGGGGGAGGGGAGAAGGTACCGGCGGCGGCGGCGGCAGAGACTGAGGCCCCACAGGGAGGGGGCGGCGGCGGCACCACAGGAGGCTGCAAGGGCGGCTGAGATTGAGGGAGGGCAGACGGAGGACATAGGGAGGCCTGCGCCGGCTGAGAAGGAGGCCCCTGAGGCGGAGGTTCCGGTGGGTGGGGGACCGGCGACAAAGACGGCTGTTGAGCCGCAGGAGGCGGCTGAATCTGCGGAGGATGAGAGGTTAGCGGCGGCAGAGAAGGACTCGGCTGACACTGAGAGACCTGCAGTTGGGCCTGTGGCGTCTAAAGCGCTAGAAGAGAGGCCCACATCGGCGGCGGCAGCGGCGGCAAGCAACTCGGGCCGGAAGACGCAGACGGCGCCACAAGCTCAGCCCCGGGCGGCGCCACCAATGGAGAGGACAACAGTGCCGCCGGCGCAGACAAATGCTGCTGCTGTGACGAAGAAGAAGCCAGCGACGGCAACGATCGAGGCGGCAGGGGCTGCGTCGATGGTTGCGATTAAGGCACCAGTGGCACCTGTGACCGTGGGGCCTGAACCAAGGATCGCACGGACTGCGGGGCAAGCAACGGAGATGGCCGGGGAGGGCGGCGGTGGCGGAAGGATTGACCCCGGGCCCTTACATGCGGATGAGTCCGCCCGCGGGGAGACCGATAAATCGGCCCACGAGGCGCAGATGAACCGACGCGCACCTGAGAAGAACCGCCACCAGAAGCCGCGGCCGCAACAACATCAGCGGCGGCTCGGAAAAGGGCTGGCACCCGCCCGACCTTGGCCCCTTGTGGGTTGGACGCATCAGGCGGATCCGCCCCAGGCAGTCGCCAAGGTGGAGGGCGGCGCCGACCAGTCATCACCGCTGGAGATCGCGGGAGAAGAGGCGGAGGCGCAGCAGGAGAGGGAGAGCGCCGCCGAAGAGGCAGAGGAGAGGAGGGCCGCGGCGAGACGCGGCCGTCACCAAGGGGGAACGAACCGGCAGCAGGCCCTGCGGGAGCAGGCCAACCGGAGAGCTGAAGGTCGACCGCCGGAAACCGTGACGCCTGGAGCGGCAGCACGAGGAGCGCGAGGGAGGGGCCGAGGCAGGGGAGGAGGCCTGGGAAACTTGGTACGAGCGTTAGCAAGGGAAAAGGCCAGATCGGGGGACTGGCGGGAAAGACACGGAAGGCCTCTGCGGTCTGGCACAAGACAGAACGCAAACTCAATGAGGGGAGAGGATGAAGGAAGTGACGGGGAATATATCGAATCGGAGGAGAGGGATTCTAAAGATATATCCCTCGACGCAGAGGAGGGGATCCCGAACACAGGCGCAAACCAGGGACAGAGGAGGCCGCGTGGCCCACAACCAGCCCAGGGGGCCGAATCAAGTGCACAGGCTAGCGCGAGGGCAGCAAATAGAGAGCGCTCAGCAGCAGATATCGCGGATGACGAGGCCACGTGGCAGAAGGTGAAGGAGTGGGACCTGTCACCTCTACGCAACAGTGCCCAGCCCTTCCTAGCTCGGAAGCTTCCCCCCAACATTCTCGGAATCTACAGCTACTGCCTCACGATTCCCCTGCTGCGGCTTTCCAAGAACCCGACCTGCCAAGGAGCCTGGCAAATGTTGCTATTCCTGCCCCGACTCACACTGAGAGCTAACATTGGGAACGCACCTGGAAACAGAGGAGCGAGGTGGCGACAAGGCTGGACCAGTTCAAGTTGGAAAAGTGGGACCTACTGTACTCCCATGCCTGCACCATACCCCAGAACTCCCAACCGAGTCGTCACCAGCCGGACCCAGAGGGCATCTGCGCGAGGGCGGAGGGGCTCGTGCGCAAGGCAAATCTCGCAAAAGCAGCAGCAGCGTTACAAACTTCGCCACTCGCAGAACCATCAAATGCGACCCTGGAAGCACTAAGAGCGAAGCACCCTGGGGCAGGGAGCGAAACCCCAAACTGGGTAACAGGATTCGCCTCCAGCAACCTAGCAACGTCAGCAGAGACATTTCGCAAAGTAACGGCGAGATGCCCCAATGGAATTGGAGCGGGACCCTCAGGCACCTGCTTCGAGCACCTCCGAGACCCCGCGCTCACCAACAATGAAGTTTGCTCTTACCTGCATGGCGTTGTCAACCACGTCCTTAGCACCCACCTGCCAGCGGAACTGACGCAGCTCTTGCTACCATCTAGACTAGTAGCCCTGGAGAAACCGGGCGGCGGTGTCAGACCCATAGCCATAGGAGAAGCGATACTATGACTCACAGCCAAGGCAGCGCTTAGGGAACTAAGCACGCCCATCCGAGAATACTTCCTCCCGGTACAATTCGGAGTGACAGTACCTGGAGGCGCCGAATGTATTATTCACACGGTGCGGGCGCTCTTAGATGAGGATCTGAAGCGAGTGGTGCTGCAGTTAGATATCGAAAACGCCTTTAACTCGGTTGAACGCGCCGGTTTTTTCGAATCACTGCATTTCTCTGGACTCAGCCGCATCATACCACTAGTGCGTACGCTGTACGGCACACCCTCCTGCCTACTACTAGATCACGGCTTCGCGGAGCCTCACATCGAGAGTGCGCGCGGGGTCCGTCAGGGAGATCCACTAGGCCCCATGCTCTTTGCGGCAGCTATTCAACCGGCGCTCCAGGTGGCGTCTGACATTTTCCCGACGGTCACGGTCATGGCCTACGCTGATGACATTACAATCGTGGGGACGGCGCAGGAAGCGGCACTCACCTTGGGATCATCACCAGTCAACTTGCTGGCCGCGACCTCAAATGCAACCTCGCAAAATCATCTGCCTGGAGCCCATCAGGCATACCGGACGACCTTCCTGACAGCCTGGTAGCAGCAGTAGACAGCATACGCGTCTTTGGGAGCCCCATAGGAACAAAGGAATACGGGAGGCGCATGATCACAGCTTCCCTAGACGCGGTGGCAGCCCCCCTCGACCTTCTCAGCAGCATCCACCCGCAGCATGCCCTACTGTTACTGTCACGCTGCGTATCCAGGCGCATCTCGTACCTGCTTCGGACAACACCGGCAGACATGCTGCCCTTAGAAGAATGGCGGGAGTGGAGCGATGGAGTGGTGTGGACGGCGCTCAAAGCGGCACACCTGCACGTGCCAAGGAAGGAGATCGAACAGAGCCTGGTGTGGAGGCAAGCGACCCTTCCAGTATGCCTCGGCGGGCTGGGCCTCATAGATCCGGTCTCGGAAGCACCCGCAGCCTACCTGGCATCCCTATGCGCGGCCCACACCCTACTAAGTGGCCTCCCTGAGCACCCAGACAACCCCCTGCGGCGGGCTGCAGACCTGGTATCTACATAACGCATCGAGGTGTCGGCACGGGGAGGAGAGATCCTGCAGGACCTTAAAAGCAAGTTACCAGAAAAGGCACTGGAACTCCTACATGAGCACCACCATCAGAGGGGGGGGAAAGGGCGGCTGCAGTTGGGGCTATCCCGCGAGGTTAACTTGGACAGGGCAGCGGAGCTGATAGGAGACACCCGGGTAGACAAGCCGGGCGAGGACAACAGGCACGTGGTGCGGCTCATAGCCTTGCAGGCGCCAGGGGCAAGAGACTGGCTGCATGCCATACCCACGCGAGCGGACCTCACCTTCTCACCCGGGCAATTCGCCATAGCCCTAGGCTTCAGGCTCGGCCTTTCCCTTCCAGTCACAGAAAACTACCCCTGCCGCGGCAGGCGCTCCAAGATAGCAGACAGCAGCTTGCCAAATCACCTACTGAGATGCGCGGATGGGGGGACCGCACCAACACCCACAACGCGGTGGTGTACGCGGCACTACGCATGGCACGTGAAGCGGATTTCACTACCTTGCACGAGACGACAGGATTTTCGCCCCAAGTCAACCCTAAACGGGCGGACCTGGTCTTCCGTGACAGGGAGTCGGGTGAAACCTACCTCACAGACCTGACGGTGACCGACCCAGTGCTGCAGAGGCGGGATACCCAAGAGAGAAAGGCGCCAGGGTGGGCAGCACAGGACGCTGCCAGGACCAAAAGGGGGCTGTATGAGGAGCGCCCTGAGTTTGCGGGGGTCCTGGGCCTGGCTGTGGAAACCTACGGGGGACTAGCAAGAGACACACAGAAATTCTTCCGCATTTTAGGGACGAGTGCGGCCAAGAAGAAGCACCGCCAAGGGAGGCTCACCACGGTGGTCTCCAGGATGACGGCGCACTACCGACAACGGTGGTCGGTAATGCTGCAGCGCTACCAAGCCAACGCCATGCTGGCAAAGTCCAACAGGGCGGCGGAGGCAGCATACCCCCAGGCCTGGGCTGACCCTTGGGACAGAGTTCTGTCACGCTGTGACAATGGGATTGGGGCGGGCCCATCAGGTCTGACATTCGAGCATGAGCAGGAGGCGTGTCTAGTCAATCAGTCAGTAGCGACAAACATCCACGCAATGGTCAACACCATTCTGACAGGGAAACTGCCATCCACAGTCGCCAGGCTCCTCACAGCGTCTCGCCTACTGGCTCTCTCCAAACCAGACGGAGGGACAAGGCCGATCGCTATTGGTGAAAGCATCACAAGACTCGCCGCCAAAACAGCTCTGATGTTGACAGCAGGGGCGGCAAGAAAATTCTTCATGCCACACCAGTTCGGCGTGGCGGTGCCTGGGGGAGCGGAGGCGGTTATCCACATCACCCGCGCCTACCTATCTGAAAATCCTCACGCGCTAGTCCTCCAGACAGACCTAGCCAACGCCTTCAACAGTGTCAACAGAGCTGCAATAGCATCCGCGCTAGACAATTCATCTCTAGCACCACTACTTCCACTAGTACAGCTCACCTACGGGGCCCCCTCACCGCTCTACCTGGACGAGGGCTTCAAGCATGAGCCCCTGCTAAGCATGACAGGAGTTCGGCAGGGAGACCCTCTTGGGCCACTGCTGTTTGCAGCGGCAATCAATCCCGCGCTGCAAGCTACAGCCCAAGCCTTCCCTACTGTAGCCTGCCTAGCGTACGCAGACGACGTCACCTTCCTAGGGGAGCAATCTACCTGCGTTGCAGCGTTTCAGCACTTCAATGAGAGCCTCATGCCAATTGGCCTGCATCATAACCCATCTAAATGCGCGGCCTGGTCACAGTCAGGCATCCCCACCTCTGCCCTACCCCAGGGTGTCCCGTTCACTGGAAACGGCGTGAAGCTGCTAGGCAGTTTCATAGGTTCCGATGAGGCCACAGCAGACTTCATTCGTTCAAACCTTAGCTCCATGGCGGCACCTCTTAGCCTGATAGCACGGATGGAACCTCAGCTGGCTGCCCTGCTACTCTCCAGGTGTATCTCAAGACGAGTTTCCTACCTCATCCGGACCACACCCCTCATGCATATGCCTCTGTATGAGTGGTCCAGTTGGGGCAGGCAGTTGTTTGAGACTCTGTTAACGGCATGTGGCATTAGGCATCCGCGGGGTGACGCTGAGATCTCTCGTACATGGTCCCAAGCTTCGCTGCCAGTATCACTCGGGGGCCTCGGAATCACTGACCCCGCGGTCGAGGGCAGCTACAGCTACCTAGCTAGCTTTACCCAGGCACAGCAGCTGCTCTCAACCCTTGAAGATAGCCAGCTGGGGCCCCTGACAGGGACACGGGTGCAGATGATGGGACCGTACACGGACTCCTGCGCTCTCTACCGCTGGCTAGCTCAGTGCGAGGCAGACCTACCGAGTGATGTCGGGGAGCTACTACAGAGTGACAGGGCTGCTCCCACGGGTGTGAAGCTGCAGCAGGGGCTAGCTTTGGCAGTTCAGGGCAGAAGGTATGCTAACCAGGTGGAGAGCACACGGGGCATGACCCCAAACCCCAAAAGCGGCCATACGCAGCGCCTTCTCTCTTTGTCAGGGTACGGAGCCGGGACTGGCTCCATGCAGTCCCGCTCATGCCCTCCCTGAGGCTCGACGGTCCCCACTTTGCCACAGCCCTACAGTTCAGGCTAGGACTACCATTTTCAGCCCACGGCGCTTGTGACTGCACCAAGCAGGTTCCCATCCCAGACAATCGGCTCCCAAACCATCTGCTACGCTGCGCCACAGGAGGAGGAAGGACAAATACTCACAACGAGCTGAGGGATGAGTGCATTAGGATGGCACAGTACGCCGGGTTCATGGTGCACAATGAAACGGCCGAGTTCTGCCCGGTCACTAGGAAGACAGCGGACCTCACCATTCGTGATCGGTCCTCAGGGGCAGTATGGATCGGGGACGTCACCATCACTGACCCCATCAGCACGCGCGACCCCAATGCGGTGAAAGGGAGGGGGTGGGCTGCCAGGGAAGCCGCTGACAAAAAAATCTCAGATTACAGCGGCTCCCCGGCAGCCTACGTCTCATTCGTACCCCTCGCAGTCGAGACTTATGGCTGCCCATGCGCAGAGGTCCCCGCTTTCCTCAAGCTCTTGGCCCACACGGCTGCACGCAAGCTCTTCAACGCCGACCCTTCAACCTATCAGGCGGCAAAACTACTCAACCAGTTCCGCCAGAGATGGTCGGTCACCCTTCAGCGCGCACAGGCCGTAAGCTACTTGGCCAAGTGCAACATGGCAGCAGAGGCCCAGAACCCTCTTGTCGGGGCTCCTGGCGAGGAAATGTCCCTGGGGGACTGTTTTGTGGTGCTCGAACCTACTGCTGAGCCCCCTTAGGAGCTTCCAGTGGGGGGGGGGGGTGGTGGTTGGTGGGAGGGGTTGTAGGTTGTTCTTAGGATCTGGTTTGCTGCTAGGTTGTTCTTTTAGTCTTTGGTGTTGCCTGTTTCTATTCTGCCTCGATCATTTGTACTCACCCGTTATATCAATACAAGGACCGCTTGAGAGAGAGAGGCGCACTGCCCTATTGAGGAACAGACGGCAGATTTTACAATGACGAACAGAAGCGGTGGGGCAGTCTACGTATGCGACGTCACCATTACTGACCCTATTATCACTAGGGATCCAGAGGCGCAGAAAGGCAGGGGCTGGGCGGCACGAGAGCAAGCGGACAAGAAGATCCAGCACTACGCCACCCTGCCGGAGACGGTGAAGTTCTTCCCACTTGCGGTGGACACCTACGGTTGCCCCTGCGCGGAGGTGCCAGTCTTCCTGAAGCTCTTGGCGGACACTGCAGCTCCATGCCACTTCAACGCCGACTCCAAATCGTTCTATGCTGCAAAGTTCCTGCACCAGTTCAGGCAACGCTGGTCGGTGGCCCTGCAAAGGGCCCAATCTGTGGGTCTCCTGCTCAAGCTTGGAGAGGCTGCGGCAGTAGAAAACCCGCCTGTGGGGGGAATTGGGGACGAGTTGCACCTTGGGGACTGCTTCGCGGTCATTGAGCCCCTAGTGGAGTTGTAGATCTGTGGTGCTTGTGCTTTGCATGTGTGTAACCTATGACTCTATGACTTGCATGCTTGTACTTGCCATCTATATCAATACAAGGACCATTAGAGAGAGAGAGAGAGGCACTAGGCCCAGTCCTTAGCCTCTCCCAGCTCCCTAGCTCTCTAGCTTAGTATGTACCTAGTCTAGCGTAGTCCTTAGCCTCCATTCGCATTGAGCCCTTAGTATAGCCACTGCAGTACGCCTATATGTTGTACGAGCACCTATATAGCCTCCTCTTTTGGTTCATTCCACTCATTATACTCCGGTGAGTGTGGATCCACCCAACCCAGCGGCTCGCGCGTTTGGGGTGGCAAGAACAACATAGGAAAGGAGGAGTTGCACAGGGTACAGTACATGCATGCAAGTATAGTACTGAATGGGCAGCACTAAGGTAAGTCCCCAAGCCATGAGGAAGAAGGCAACCACCACAGCAGCGGCCAGGTCAACACCTACATCCGCCTCACCCGCCGCCCAAGCTACCGGAGCACACACGCGCTCGCAGGGACGATCCCAAGCCGGGACTCCTCAGCAGCCTTGGCTACCTAGCGGAAAGTCGCAGCGCCAGGCCCATCGTCCAGCAACGGGTCCGCAGGCTCAAGCAGCAGATGCAAGACATCACACAGCGCACCCGACACTGCACGCCGCACCCGTCCCTGCTGGTCTTCATTCATCTGCGGATCCCGCGCCACCACCTCCCGCGACTGAAGGGTGCCATGTAGGAGGTCAAGCACGAACAACAGCTCTGACACGCAGCGGCCAACCTCCGCCAGGTGCATGCCACGGACTGGTAAGCCCCGTCTCCAGGCCGCGGCTCACCCCAAGGAGGGCTCGGGGGGGAGTGTTTCAGTTCCCTTCACGCGGCACATGTGGCCACGAGACACCATCCCAGTCCACCTCAGGGTCACGAGTGGTGCCAGGCACCTCGTCTTCGCTCCAGTAGCCGCGGGAGATTCCAGGCACAGGCTGATGCTGCGGGAGTGAAGGGGGCGCAGGATGGCGAGGGACGTGGAAATCGCAAAACACAGCAGATGAGTGGGGGGCAGGGGAGAACATCACGCAAAGAGCGGGGAGGAGACGAGAACGCGGGTAACTCACAAATCCGAGCCGAGCCGCAGGGAGGCGAGACCCCAGAACTAGAGGGTGCTGGCGCTGAGGCCCATGAGGAGCGGGAACAGGGAGAGGAAGCCCCCGGGGAACAAGAGGTGTGAAATCCGCCAAATCTAACCGGGGTGGTTACGAATACGCAAGCGGCGCAACGGGAGTCGGCCCCAACGCGGGCGGCGCGTGAGGCGGAGCGGACGGCTGAGGAGGTGGCGGCGCCGCGCCTAGGCCGGGCCCTGGGGCAGACGTCGGGGGATGCGCCTGCACGCCAACCGGAGGTGCGGAATCGGGCTGAGGCGGCGGAGGGACGGGCACGGAAGGACATGTCAGCGGAGGCAACGCCAACTCCGACGCTAGAGGGGGAGGCTGCGGCAGAGGGGCTAGCGGCGCAGACTGCGCCGGCGCATCCGGCGCCTCCGAGCGGGACGACGCGGACTGAGACCAGGCCGAAGGTAGCTGCAACGGCTGGGACCGTGTGGCCGACGCGTGTAGCTGAGGTCGAGGACGAGCCTGGCCGGACAGGAGCGGGCGAGGGGGGCAACGACGACGGAACGAATGGCCACGCGCACGGAGAAACGGATGAATGAGCCCACGCGGGGAGCGATACACCGGCTCCCGTGGCCGAGCAGGCGCGCTCGAAGATGATGTGGCGCCAACACCCGCAGTCAAGCAGTCCGTGACGGCTCGGAACAGGGCTGGCACCTGCCCGCCCGGGGCCGCTGGTAGGGTGGGCGCAGCAGGAGATCTCGCCGCCACGATCACCTCACGCCAAGGCTGCCGGCGCCTACCCATCATCAGGTACGGGGAACGTAGCGGATCGGCCCCACGAAAGAGCGGAACGGGCGGGGGCCGAAGCGAAAGACGGGGCGGCGGTCGTAGAAGAAGAGCAGGTGATTGTGATTGACCGTCGCCGAGAAGGAACAGCGCGGCAGAGGCTGCTGCGAGAACGCGCAGCGGAGGCAGTGGCGGGAAACCCGCCAGTAGGAACTCGGAGACAAGCGCTGGTGACGGGGAGAGGGCGCGGCGGGCGGGGTGCGCGCAGAAGGGCAGGGCAAGGAGGCCTGGCGGCAGCTGTGGCCAGAGAGAAAGCCAGATCTGGTCCGTGGCGGGAAAGACACGGGAGGCCTGAGCGACAACAAGGAATTAGCCCAATGAATGACTGTGACGAAGATGAAGACAATGAATATATGGAGGAGGAGCAGGGGGATTCGGAGGACGTGTCACTAGAGGATGAGCAGGGTATCCCAGCTGGAGAGACAAACAGAGGAACTAGGGTGGAGGGAAACCGGGCAGACGCCAATGTGGGCGAATCACGTGGCGCCCATCCCAGTGAGACGGCCAGCAAGGCAAGATCGCCAGCAGACATCGCAAATGGCCCAGCAGTTTGGCGCCAAGTGGAAGGGTGGGAATTGGGGCCAATGTATTGCAGCGCCCAACCCTTTTGTGTTCCGGAAGCTTCCACCCAAAATCCTGGGTGTCTACGCTTATTGCATGACGATCCCCCTGCTGAGACTCGCGAAGGTTCCTAGCTGCGTGGGTGCGTGGCGAATCCTGCAATACCTACCCAGGCTGACCCTCCGAGCCGAAATCGAGAGGGTTCGAGGAAACCGCTGGGCCGTGGTTGAGAAGCGACTTCAGCAATTTCAAGAGGAAGACTGGGAGGTGCTCTTCTCGGAAGCCTTCGTCATTCCCCCGAACCCCCAACCGAGCAGACACCAACCGGACCCGGAAGGCATGTGTGCCTGAGTGGAGGGCCTAGTACAGAAGGCAAACCTGGCGAAAGCCTTAGTGGCGTTACAGTCTGCCCCCCTTGCCGAGCAATCACCAGCAACACTCGTAGCACTTTGCACAAAACATCCGAGAGCGGGGGAAGCAACGCCTGGATGGATTACCGGATACGAGACATCATCCCTGACGATCGCGGCGGACAAATTTTGCGAAGTTTTAGCTAAGTTCCCGAACGGGAGTGGGGCGGGGCCATCTGGCACGTGTTTTGAACACCTACGTGACCCTGCGCTGCTGAATGGGGAGGTCTTCTTACTCCTGTACCTCCCTTAGCTCGTCCTTTAGGGATCTCCTCCTACCAGCGAGGCTGATTGCATTAGAGAATCCAGGAGGTGGGGTCAGGCCGATTGCGATTGGCGAGGCGATAGTTAGGCTAACGGCTAAAGCGGCACTACGGAAAATATCGCCCGATATCAGGAAATTTTTCCTCCCAGTCCAGTTCGGCGTGGCATTACCCGGAGGAGCGGAGACAGTGATACACGCTACCAGAGCCCTACTGACGGATGACCCGTCTCAAATCGCAATACAGCTGGATATCGAGAACGCTTTCAACTCCGTGGAATGTGGGAGTTCTTTCACGGCGCTCAAATGGACAGCGCTCGAGCCAGTTTTGCCGCTAGTTCGCACGCTGTACGCCGCACCGGCACGCCTCCTACTAGACCAGGGCTTCAATAAACGGTACATCGAGAGTGCACGTGGCGTGCGCCAGGGGGACCCACTGGGGGCGATGCTCTTTGCGGCGGCCATACAACCAACCCTATTGAGGGCGGCAGCGATGTGCCCCAACACGGTGGTGATGGCGTACGCGGATGACATCACAATCATTGGCACACCGGCGGAAGCGATTAGGGGAATGAACGTCATCGCCGAGGAGCTACGCAAGTGCGGACTGCGGTGCAACCTGGAGAAGTCATCGGTGTGGTGCCCTGCAGGTTGCTCGGATGTTCTTCAAGAAGGACTGAGGGCGGCGGTCGACGGGATACGGGTGTTGGGAAGCCTGGTGGGCACCAGAGAGTACGGGAATAGGTCTATACGAACGACACTGAGAACGGTGGCGTCGCCATTGAACCTCATTCGCAAACTGCACCCACAACACGCACTCCTCCTCCTCTCGAGATGTGTGTCGCGACGCATCTCGTATATGCTCAGAACCACCCCAGCTGACACACTACCACCTGTGGAATGGAGGGACTCGAGTGAGGAACTGCTGTGGACGGCACTAAAAGCGGCAAAGATGCATGCTCCTACGAGCAAACTGGAGCAGACCCTGGTATGGCGCCAAGCCACGCTACCGGTGTGCCTCGGTGGCTTGGGGCTGATAGACCCGCTCTCCGAGGCACCAGCGGCATACCTGGCCTCCCTCCATGCAGCCAACACCCTCCTTAGGCACACGGCAATGACGGCGGACAACCCACTGCAGCAGGTGACGGACCTGGTGTCACCGATGGGAGGAGCCCAGGGGACGGAGGCTGGAGGGGCGACGCTCACTGACCTTCCGAACCAGCTCCCAGAGTAGGCTCGGGAGGTCCTGAAGGAACACCACCAGAAGGGGGAGGTGAAGGGACACGTGCAGCTGATCCTCTCAAAGCTGGTAAACCTAGATAGGGCAGCCGAGCTCGTGGGAGACACAAGGGCGGACAAGCCCATGGTTGACAATGGCTCATTAGCTATCCCTACGAGAGGCGACCTCACCTTCTCCCCCAGTCAGTTTGCAGTGGCGCTTGGCTTCCGGCTTGGTCTGCCCGTGGCGGTCACAGACAGGTGCCTCTGCAAGGGGAAGCGGTCAGGCATCGGGGACAGAAGCCTACCGAACCACCTGCTGCGGTGTGCCAACGGAGGGGACAGGACTAACACTCACGACGCTCTGGTGTTCGCAGCGCTCCGGATGGCTCAAGGAGTGGACTACACAACCTTGCACGAATCAGCAGCCTTCTCGCCCATAACCAACCAAAAGCGAGCGGACTTGGTAATTCGCGACAAGGAGTCCAACGAGACATATGTCACTGATGTGACAGTCACGGACCCTGTCCTGCAGCGGCGTGACAAGAGAGCGGTAAAGGCACCGGGGTGGGCGGCAGAGGACGTGGCAAGAGTGAAACGGGGGCTGTACGAGGGCCGCCCGGGTTTTGTGGGGGTGTTCGGTCTGGCGGTGGAAACCTACGGGGCCCTAGCTAGGGACACCCAGCGGTTCTTCCGCCTCCTGGGCACCCAGGCTGCTAAGAAGAAGCACAGACAGGGGAGGCTCACTACTGTAGCCTCGAAGTTCATGGCGCACTACCAACAGAGATGGTCGGTAATGCTCCAGTGCTGCCAGGCGAATGCCCTGATGGCCAAATCCAACTGCGCACTCAAGGCAGCGCACCCACAGGTAGCGGCTAACCCGTGGGAGCCAAGCCTCGGGGACCTATGGCAAATCCTCAAGGATGACATGTGGGAGTAGAGGGCCGGGTAGCATCATAAGGGCCCGCCCATCCGAGGAGGGCTCCCCTCTGCTGGGCAGGACAGGGGAGGGAGTGAGGTGCCCTGCAAAAGGATGTGCAGGCCAGCAATGATGTGGCAATAGGGACAGGTGTGGTGACTACGCAGCAGAGCATGGCAGGCCGGCCCAACATAGGCCCAGTTTGTGATTCTGTTCATTCTAAATTTGCATGCCTAGGCCACCTGCTTGTTAGGATTGCCATTGCCTTGCCTGTACCCTATACATATGTCAATGCAGGACTGCTTGAGAGAAGCTTAGCAAGCGCGCGGACTTTGCATTCCAGGACCGGGAATCTGCAGAGACTTGGGTCACCGACGTCATAGTGACGGACCCGGTGCTCCAGAGGCGGGATCCTAGGGTACGGAAGCCGCCAAGGTGGGCAGCCAGAGAGGCTTTGGAGAGGAAACACCGCCTCTACGAGGGCCACCCGGACTACGTGGGGTTCCTTGGGCTGGCGGTTGAAACATATGGCGCTTTGGCGGCAGACACGGTCCAGTTCCTTCGACTGCTGGCCGTGGCGACAGCTAAGAAAAAGTTCAGACAGGGGCTGCTCACCACCACGGCTTCCAGGCTTAACGCACACTACCGGCAGCGTTGGTCGGTGATGCTGCAGCGCTCCCAGGCCATCTCTTTCCTCAACAAATCTAACATGGCAGCGGAGGCGGCGTACCCTCAAGCACTGTTGGATCCCTGGGAGCCTAGCCTCGGGGATCTGTGGCAGGTGCTTGATGACGACCTGGCAGGAGTGTAGAGGCTTGGGAACGGAGGCAGCGGTAGCAGGGATGGGTGGACATGCTAGGGATTGAGGGTGGCCAGGAGGATGATGGTGCTGGCGCGGATGGCTCTTGGACTAGGACTATGTTAGCTTAGGAATGGCTGGTGCTGTATATTTGTTGGCCCGCTTGTCTTGCCTACCCACCTGCTTGCCTGCCTAGGACAGCCTACCGGCTATATCATGTACCTCCCTGCATGCCTGTACCCTATAGGCAACATAAATGCATGAGCGCTTGAGAGAGAAACTTACACACAAACACACACATATACACACATACACAAAAACAGTGCAGCCTCACTAAATTCATCAAGGTACGTGACAAAGGAAAAATACATTGCGGTATGCACGTCAAACATACATTGCCTGCAGACGAAGCCACAGTAGGGTTTGGCAAGAGTCTTGGACGACGTCCACTTGGCAGGCCCACCAACACGGCTGGTGCTTCCAGGGCTAACAGGACCCCCGTGCTATTGACTGACCACTGACATAGTTGTTGCGGGTGCTGCTGCTAAAGCTGCCGCTGTTGCGACTCCTGCCAAATCCAGGGATGTACCCCCTTCACTTCTCTGGCAATTACATCCTTCTTAGAGTTTACGTTGATGACTTGCTGTACATATGGACGAGCAAAAGTCTTCTCGAACAATTCGAGAGGAACCTGAAAAGCCGCGTCGACATTACTATCAACCACGATGTGACACTTTTTCTAGCACTTGATCTCTCCTACGCTCTAGAAGCCATTCACCTCTCAGCTCCAAAGTATAGTGGAATACTTGGGGAGTGCTTCAACATTTCACCTGCACCACTCTTATTTCCCTACCACGTGTTTGAACCCAACTATAAACGAGAGAACAAATGCCTAATGCAGGTCTGCACTCTTAAGAGCAACAGCTGGGTAGCCTGCTCTTTGGCTCTGTCATCTGCGGACCCGATTCCTACATTGCGAGCCAGCTAGCCTACTACTTCACCAAGCCTGTGGCTAAGAACCATAGATCTGCACCGTGCTCTACAGTACTTCATCTGAACTCCCAACATTTGACTCTCTTACTCAACCCTCACAACTCCGTCATTCATCCTCGTCGATTACATAGACGCCGATCACGCCGCTAATCTTAACAATTCACATTCAATAACCGGCTTGGCCTTTTAACTTGAATCAACAGGTGTTGGATGCACGTCATTCTGAGCGCATGTCATCCTAACGTCGTGCCGAGTGCTCGTGCCATTTGTGTTTGCATTATTTGCATGAGCATATGTTATTATGCATGGCTGTTGGATATTATCATCTCTGCGTTTTTCTCCAACTTCAAACGCTTGATCATGCAGGAGA